GGCGCGCCTATGTATACGGAGGCCATTTGCTGGTTTTTCACAATTAAGCAAACAATCCGATTGGATCGCATTGGGTTGGCATTTCGTCTCATGTGTGGCTTGCCCATCCTGAGTTGAAAATGTCTGGGTTTGCGACTCGTGGCTTGTGTGTTTGCTGGCTCGTGGCTCTGAGACTGCGGGAGATCGACGAAACGATGGACTTGGGGACGAAACAATGGAGAGATTCTTTTCGTGATTCGCTCCCACTAACCTGAACGGGCCAATGAAGCGAAAGCACTACTGTACATAGCTGGTTCCTCCTCAAGTGTCGTGAGATGCGTTCGGTTGATGGGAGCGAGATGGTACTATCCAATCACCATTTTGCAGTAACGCGACAGCTGCTCATGAGTTTCACGCAAGCGTGTGCAGGGCTTCCGCCGTAGCACCCAGAGTGAGGTGGTGAGATTATGCCGGCGAGATGTTCTGTCGTAACTGGTATGAAGAGCATTCAAAGACATAGTAAAGCAAAGAATTAATCAAAGGACCCTTCACATGTGTGACATGTTTTCAAGATCTTCCCAAAGAGTGGCTGCCCAGAGCTCCGAGCCTGGCCTTTACGCGGGGATGGAGTTGGCGCGGGGGAGCTTTGGAATTCGCCGATGCTCGGTTGGAATGCTGGCACCGCATTCTCTTCAACCTTCCAGATTGCTTTCCTTGCGAAACATGCTGAAGGTGCAATGAATTCCATCTCAATGAAGGAGACTGGTGACCGGTGCCCCATTCTAATCTACAGTAGTCCGGCTTGCAGAGAGACACAACTGGCCGATTTGTGGATCGCGATGCAAAAAAAGTGGCTCAGCGGAGCCCTCAACTGTAGACTTACAGAGGCCTCTTTGTTTGAGCCATTGGTCACACTCTTTCCGAACAGTATTTCGCCACACCCAGTTGTATACGATGCTCTCACATAGCTCAATTGAATGATTGGAACGCACAGTTCAAGAGAATGGTGGGTATGCATTCATTTTGGGCTGTAACTTGCGCACGTGAAGTCTGCAGCCGTACTCAGCCCAAGTTGCCAGAGAGAATCTCCAAGGCTTCCAAGAAGGAGAGGGGTTTTACCTTGTTACATGGTGTTTTGCAGAGTTTGAAGCACTTGAAGGAGAGGTTGCTGAGTAGCCTCCCAATAACAACCTCTCGGAGAGTCACAATGATGTTAGAAGAGTGTTTGTGCATATTTACAAGCACTTCAGACCATTCACTTGTAACTTCACGACCATTAGTTTTTGGACGGCATCCCTTTTTTCAAGGGTTTCAGGCTTCATGCAAGTCTCTTTTCCATTCATTGGGTTAACTGTGGTCTCCCCTTGGAACATGGCTTAGTGAAGTTGCTTCAGGATCAGACAAAGACCTATCAAGGCTTCCATGTGGACATGGGAAAACTGACCTGACCCATGTCCAGACCTCGTGTGGAGAAACCAGGTGAGGGACCAGACCGGGATGGACCGGGGGCCGCGACCGATTTCGGATGTTAGGATGCTGTGGCCGAAAGTCCTGGTGCTGACTCTCCCAGCCGTTGCCCATGTGATGAGCTGAGCATGCGGCGGATCGGATCTGTCGGTGTCGGTGAAGCGAACGCATCAGCTTCGGGGATCCTACTTGTAGTGATACCAAAGCTACATTCCTAAAGCCAGAGGTGAACCCAGTACACCATCCAGGACGCACCACACCCCACTGTCACCTGCAAGTGCTTAGTGATGCTTGCAGTCTCAAAGACATCCTCTTACCAAATTGCGCAGCGCAGGATCAGAGAAGACCAATATGAAGAGAACTGCTCACATCTACAAAATCTTTGTGACTCTTCTTTTTCAGAGTCCTAATCTGTGCTTCTTTCGTTTCGGTGACCTGCTCTGACCTGCTCTGTTCTCCCAACATGTCCCGCCTTTCTGCTCTCTGTGACCAGGTGACTTTTCCCGCTTCTTCTCGGTGTTCAGATCCCGCGAGCTGTTGACCGAGGCCTGGATGGCACCCGCCGAGCTGACCGAGCTGACTGAGCTGGAACCTCGCGTGTCTCAGACCTCGGCGACGAGACATGATGCCCAGGTCCGGTGACTCAAAAAGCTGGTGGTGATGCGGAGTTTGACATGATTTGACATGAGTTGACGGCTCCTCAATTGCTTTATTTATTTCGTAGTGGTGGTATGCTTTGTTCCGAAAGCCAGCCGATAGGCTAGGCTGAAGTTGGATGAAGTTGGTGCTGCGAACGAAGTTCATAATTAGGGGGTGTGGGGAGGAGACGGGAGAAAAGGATACAAATTTTTTCAGTGACGGAGGTATTGCATCACGAGCATCATTACTACCCGAGAGTAGCACATATGGCTAGTCCAAAGGCAGTTTATTGTATGCCTCGTACCAGTCTGCGACGAATGCTATGATTTCCGGAGACCGTTGCTAGTACCTTGCTTAGTACATTGGTTTGAGATTTCTATGTCACACCCTATAGGTGACACGGATGCAGGGTCGACGCGACCGGCTGACTAGGTGTGTGAGTCCAGGTAGAGGACAGGAGTGGGGAGACCGAATGTGGTCAGGAACCTCTAAGCTTCAAGCTGCCATAGGGACAGCGTTCCGATGACCTTTGCATACAAGCTTCATGTTTACAACTATATATATATATATATTGATCTATTTGATCTGGAGTGTCTTCTCCACTTGGAATCACTTGGAGTGGTTCATACGTTCCACGACCTACCCGCGCCCCGCCCCGGTAATACCACACAAATATAAGTGATCGGGACGGCAGACGGACCACGAAAGTGAGCAGCATTTCTTGCATCACGCAATGTTCCTGCATTCTGGTGTTGTGGCCGTTTGATGGGGATTGACTAGCCTCTGTTGTCGTGGCTACTGCTATGTCTAAAGTGCGGAGCACCTCCCAGGAAGCCTTCTAACCTTTCCTAACCACCATCGCCAAAAAAGCACCAACGGATGAGACTTTCCGTTCTGGGCCCCTTGCAACATTGTAGAAGTGCGGGTCTTGGATGTTTGTTTCCTCTTCCCCATTTTGGGGCTCCTGTCCGAAACAGGCTTGGTCCAGACCTGCTTTTGGATGGCGTGCCAGGTTCCCCAGTCTTCGCTCAGAGGTCGGAGGGGCACTCACACCAATTTCATGAAAGCAGCTGCGGGATGGCAGGAACAGAATCACAGACTGCAAGCACTGCATGAGCACTGCGTGCGCACCGCATCAGATTTCTTTTTTCACCTGAAACAAGATCGACGGCTGTGGATCTACGACCAACTGCAGGTGCAGAGATGAAGGAGGCTGATAGTTCCAGCATGCCGGCATGGGCCCGTGCGAGCTGTGGACAGGTTGGTCATGGAGGAAGCTTTAATCACTTTTGGGGCTGGACATCCACAATCTAATCTAGAGCTGAAAACATACGAAGGCATTCAAAACGAAGTCGTGACAGGTGTCTCTCTGTCTCTTGTGTGTGTGTTGGTTGATTTGCCTGCATATAATATAGAATTTGAAGGCTCGACATTGACATGCGCACACACACACACACGTATTTGGTTCAAGGGTCTTTCAGCTCCAGGCGTGTCCAAGTCATGCACAAGAATAGACAACACTATGATGCGCCGCTCTCGTGCTGCCCATTGTGGTCTCCTTCTGGTGGCGGGATGGCAGTTCTTGGCTTTCTCGATGACGAAGACGAAGCCGCAGTCGCTGGAGCCAGAGGTGACGTTTGGCAAGCACAAGGGTGAAATGGCATCAGATGTGCTTGACAAGGATCCAGACTACTGCATCTGGATCGTGGATACCTACCACTCAGGAGAAGCCACTCCAGCCTTGGGGAAAATTGCCGAATGGCTCATCGAGCACAACCCAGAGCTGACAGACCAAGGTAGTAGGCGCATGGGCTTTGGAAAGCACAGGGAGGAGAGCCGAGAGTGGGTCATGAACAATTTCCCTGCCTATGCAGATTGGGTCATCAAAAAGGTCCAGGAGAGCGAACAGCAAGGGGAAAGTGTCTACCTGCCAATGAAGACCTTTGCAACCTATGCGCAGGAGTGGTCAGAAGACGAAGAACGTGACTGAGCTGGCATTGCACGAAGAACAGCTGAATGTGAATGGATATAATCTATATGTGCAAAAGCTCACATTCACGACATAGGCTTGTGTTTACAAGAGTTAGATGTTCGGGCAATAGCATCCGGACGAATTGGGGGTTGCAGCTGTATTGACAGCTGTTGATCAGATCAAGCATTCTGGGTGAAAATACCATGTAGGCGCGTGGATTGCCTCCGTCTCAAGCTCCAATGCCTGGTTGTTGGTTTTCCTTCAGCCCAAGAGGTACGCTCCTTGCTGCTGCAGCGGTCTTCATGGCTGTAGTGTCCTCCCCCCGTGCAGCCTCTGCGGCCGATGTGAACATCTACATGGGACAGGTGAGCAGTGAGGGAGTTGCGTCCTACGGAATGGACGTGGGTGGGTGATGTGGGACAGGCTTCTACTCCCCCACCAGACTTCTGGGAAAAGGTTGAAATCATCCTCATTCGAGCATTTGGAGTCAGAAGAGGTGTCAGGTACAGCCTTACAGCTGATTCCTCAAGTAACCAGTCTGACGCGGTCGATTGGTTGGACTCAATTTGTGCCGTCCGATGTTGCACTAACTTTGAGAACTGCTCTACTCAGTCGGGCTCCAATCCAGTAGTTCGACCGCCCTGGCACCCACCCCAACCACCGAACCGAAACGGAGGTAGTTGGAGCTCTAGGGCGATGCGATTGCAGGATGAATCCGAGTTGATTGCATGACGGCACACCTTTGTGCAGGGCTGCTTCTGGCATGTCCAGCATGAGGTCGTGAAGCAGGAGGCGAGATTCGTTGCTTTCACAGGTCAATTTGGTTCAATTCCCAGGTGTTCTTCGAGTTCGATGCTAAGGTTCTTTTTTGCTGTTTAATGGATGTTTTCATTGTTTCACAACGTTTCTTCATTGTTTGCCGTTGCTGTCTTTAGCCGTTTCAAGAAACCACTTGTGCGGATATGGACATTTGCAGTGTTTGAAGATGTTCAAACCATGCCGAAAGACAGTCCAACACTATACAAAGGAAACACATGCCGAAAGATCCTCCGCCCACGACTGTAGTAGGCCAAGCCATGCCCATTTGATCCCACCAACTTGGGGGGGTCGACGAAAAAGGTCTGAGGGAGAGGTACCTCTGAATGGTCTGTACCATTGGGTACCTACAGTATTGGACTACAGCCCATTTTAGCCACATGTAGCATTTGAGGAGAGATACATGCTCGCATCCGCAAATAAGAAACATCCAATGCTCCACGTCAACAAACAGTTCAAAATAAAAGCAAATGAGCTCCATCTCCCCTGACATCCACTGACTGATCGGTTCTTCGAGTAACTTTGTTGACGACCCCTGAAAAAAGCGGGCAATCAACAGACTGGGTTCTGGACCTCTGGATTCTGCACCACACTAGAGGTGACAACTCCCCTCGGGAAAACGCACGGTGACAACTGGACTGCCCCAAGGATCCCTCCGAATCAAGCCTGCGATTTGCCTGCCCCAAGTTCCTAGGGCCACTTCAAACCAAGCCCCACTGGATCGACACCAAACCCCGGTGATGCTTCTTGTTCGGTTGGAGGACGCGTCGGAGTTCTCCTCGGATCTGCCAGGCCGCGGACCTCTCACGTCAGCCGGAACAGGTCTCGGCGCTGTCAGGCTATGCCGGTGGAAAGGAGGCGACCCCGAGGATCGCTCCCGTCGCGGGTCCACGCGGAGGCTTCGCCGGTCCGGACGGCGCGTGGGTTGGGGGTCGATGGAGGCGCAAAGTGGTGTCGAAGCGAACAGACGCCTTGTTGTCCGGAGAAGATGGCCATGGAATGCGGACATATGTTGATCCGGAAGAGGGATCACCATTTTCCGGTTTGGTCAGTTTGGTCCTTGGTAGTTGTGGGGGGTTCGCTCAGTTGAGGTGCAGGATCTTGCACATCAATCGAAAAGATCAGGTGGTCATCTGGCGTGACGGGGGTCAAGTCTTATAGATTTTATATATATAGTCTATGTTTCTCTCGGCGCAGTCTCCAATGTGACGTGTCCTTTCATTGGGACGTCACTGAGATACAAATCTACATGGGCCATAGGTGAAACTGCATCGGACGGTCTGATCCGCGACGATGGTATGGAGGACACTGGTCTTATACGGGCTCAATCATTCTCTTTGCCCGTCCTCTGGACCTCCCTCTCCAATCCTCTAGACCAAACATGATTTGGGCAGTACCGATCTCAGGTGGGCGGTAACGGAGAAGTTTGCTACCACAACATGGCCATGGCTCCTGACTATGGGCGAATGGGCCACACTGAGGCCGAGGGCCGGGAGGGGGATGCAGCCAATCAGCATCATCATGTTTGCTTCATGGATAGCCTCTCTACTGACTCTCGAGGACTTACTTCAGGCACTCATACGACCCTTCTTTCGGTGCCACCGCCAGTATCAACGCATGTTTCTCCTCGTCTTCCTTTCTTTGCCAAACCACGGCTACCCGGTACCGTCGGATCTGGTCTAGTCACAGCGCAGGTGGTGAACGTGAACGTGCCCGAGGAGAAGGTCGGCGACTTCGCCAAGGCCCAGCGGTCCGCGCTGGACAGCGGTGCACTCATTCATGAGTACAACAGTGAGTGGCTCTGGCAAATTGGCTGGGGGATGTTCACAGTCTTTCTTTTAGGAAGGACTTGAGAAGAATACTCTTGAGTGGCGTCTACAAGCTCTAAACTGGACTAGTGAGACCTCTCTTTTAATGTCGGACAGGCAGATGGACCTTTGTTCAATTTCATCCCATTTTTCCCATCCACCTTTGCCTTCCAAAACGCGGCCCCCACCCCGTTGCCCTCCCAGACCTACTTTGACGCAGCAGTGAAGTACCCCTTCGGCCGTGCCGATCCACAGGCGCCGTCCGACCGGTGACCGCTGTGATCGTCGACGATCACGCCGTGATATGCCGACCGGTTCCTCTTGCTGGTGAAACACCTGTACACTGTACAACTACGCTATGTAATACATCCGATTCCGCCGCGGGCAAGAATCCGGTGTGGATCAAACCGTCCAAGAGTTGTTGAAGACCCTCAGGAGGTGCGAACGACGATCAACTAGCCGGCCTTTTCGTCCAGCACGAAGGTTGACTCGTACCCGTAAAACCTGACAGTTGGCCAACTAGCTTAGTTTCCTTTCTGCCAAGATATGGTGGAGATCGCTGCTATCTTGGTGACCTATCTTAAAGCGCGTTTGAATGCGTTTGATGAATCGGCAACAAGAAGACTCTCGTGTCCTTCAGTTTCAAACGACACGTGTCACCTGCCCCAACTCCCTTTCAACCAGCTCGGGTACGGCGATTCTCCTTTGCTTTCGGTTTTCACTAGGCTGGCTGAAAAAAGATGATATGTGTACTCTTTTTCAGTCACTCTATGAATCAGTCGACGGTAAACCGGCGAACAAGAGCAATGTGTACTCAGTCAGAATCGTTGCGCTTGTCCTGAACAGGACAGAGGGACTGAGTATCGATCTGCCATTGGTATTCCAGGCCACATCCTCAGTTGGCTCATTTTGTTTCTGGCATGGCCACAAGACCGCACAACAGTTGAGAAGACACCAACCCTTCTGGGTGATACTCCAAAGCTGTGAGCTGGACAGAAGGTTAGGGAAGAGTGACACCAATGGCAATAAAGCCACGCTTGATACCTAAGATCAATATAGAAGTATATTGCAGCACAAGGTTCCCTGTTTCTTTGAGAGCCCAAGAACCAAGGTATGGAATACCTCACACCTCTGGTGTTGACACCCACGGAGGTGTCGGACTTCAATCAAGATGTGGCATTTCTGGCTCGAAGAGAAGCTTTTGAGACGTAATATGGCACAAAGCAGACCCTCTACCGCGATCCTTTGGGCAGACCTGAAGATCCTGAAATATAGAACTATACTCGCAGGTAGTAGGAAGAACAAACAAAGACCCTTTTGGGGGGCTCTCTCCATTTTGGGAGACGTGCATCCTTTAGGAAAATGAATAATTATAGGGTGTGAGGTTCTCCCAAACCATCTGGGCAACAGACAGGTTGTTGTTATCCAATTCTTTTTGAAAGCCGTGCACGACATGCGAACCTCAAGTGATTACATTGGGATTTTCCAGGCAAACATTATAGATATACTTTGTGGATCCATTCTCTCATTCCTAAGCACCAGTCAGGATTTCCCCCAAAGCTGCCATCTATAGTAGTGACGTTGGATGTGCAATTATCTCTTTCCGGCCGCGCGAGTCAACTCCACTGCGCTGTTCGTGCTGACTCTTCGAGTCGCCGACGTCGGGCGATGCCTTTCTCTAAACTCCCACGAGAAGTCTCTGCTGACTTGAAATGGCTTGCCTGGAATGACATATGGGCGGCGGTGAATGCGCGCCTTGCAACGGCTGGAGGCCAGGGCATGCGAGGGCCTGCCAGGGTAGCCTACCCTGAGGCTACTTTGAGGCTACCCTGGTGGGGCACTGTGCACTTGGATGGTACTCGTAGCTTTTGTGTTTGTTCCTTTCTGCAGAGAGGTGTTTCTCCTGACAGCTGAGAAACTGAAGAACTCAAACTCAAGCTGTAGATCTTATTTTTGATTTGGGTAACTTTTTTTAAGGAGGGAACACACTTGAAGGTTTAGCTGGAAATTCTTTGTGGGATGATGTGTAGCAAGTCTGTCTGCGTTTTTGTGGCGATTCTTCAGATCCCAGGCTCAGCAAAAACAGAGCAAAAACAAAGATAACAGGGTTTTATGTGGAGAAGGTTCAGCATAAACCCATATGAACCCCCTAAATCCCCTCAAAAAACTTGGGCATCCGAGGCTGCGTCCATCGGTTTTTGGGACTTTCTCACCTCGCTCGCAGGCGGCTCCGATGGGCTGCGGCAGAAGCGGCAGCGCCAAGGTGAGGAGGATCTGCGGCGCAGCGCCGAGCATGTGGCGCGCATCGGAAAGGCCGAGGCCTGCAAGTGGCGGCGAGGGGGCCAGTGCCAAGCGTTTGAACACTGCTTTGGGAGGGGTGTATTGGGGTGTGTGACATGTAAAAGAGTGAATTGTATTTATATACAGTAATCACGGTATACGTATTTATATACATGTTGATACATGAAACCTGGCAGGTGTTTGAAGCAAAACATGGGTAGTGAGGTCCAACACCCCCCAAGAGAAAGATAACTAGGGAGCCCTGACATGGCAGCAAGGTGAACCTTTCCAAACCATGGGTTGGTTCCGGGTTGGTGAAGGTTCGGTTTGAAATTCTTCACATATTGCAGTGGTCAAAAGAAGCATCATGAATTGTGATCATCAGGCCGTTTGCAAATAGTGTGGACTCCCAACCTTGGTGTTTGATCCAGGTTGAAGAGTAAGCTTGTGGCAGAAAACCGCCACATGACGTACTGTAAATTGCAGGAGTCCACTCAAAAAGGCTTCGGCACAAATCCAGCGCATTGGATGGATTTGGTCTAGTTGTCCTTCTACCAGTGGAGAATCTGGTCACCATGGGCACTCCCTGCTTCGTTGACGCATTCGTTGCTTAATGAAGCCAGGCGATCCAGGCGGAGACCCTGGAGCGCTTCCAGGAGCAAGTGAAAGTGGTGGCGAATGCCAGTGCGGAGGCGTGAGGGAGGACTGTACTGGGGATGAGGTGAAACGGTGAGTATCAAATGGAGACCGGGAGACTGGTGAGTGAAACGGTGAGTGAAACCGTGTGGGTTTCTTGACTCTGGAGCTGGGAGAAGGTGGCAGTGATGCTGGGACTGCTGGGAGGATACCTGTTCCCAAGTAAATGATGGGGCTGACACGGGGGAAGTCTGCTCGCTCCCAGTGCCCGGACAGTGCTGGGAACGACTTGTCATGGTTTTTAGAGGTGCGAATGCTGTCGTTCGGGTAAGATGAAGCAAGGCTGTAGCCTTTCAGTTCAGCCTTCTGGGACTCTGAGTGTGTTGTGGTTGCAACCTTGGGGCAAGGACACCGCACTGGCCACCATGTTTGACATCCACGCGGCTGTAGAAGCTTGACCCAGAAAATCTTCTCTATATTGTTCCGGAACCAGAAGACCAGCAGGCGTTGGATTTTCTCTGATTCAACGGACAGTGACTCGACTTCACAGTCCGTCGCCCGCTTTGGCGCCACTCTGCGGCCGAGCCTCAGGCTGCCTTAGAAGGCAAATGGCTTCCAGCAGCCAAGGCTCAGCAATTGGAGGCAAGCTTGGCCAGGAATTTGGATTGTTTGAAGGCCCATAGAGTCTACTCTTGATTTTCGTGGTTAGGCTGATAGCATGTATTTTACCATAGCTGATGCCATCCCCCCCAATGATGCCCTTTCTACCTTGCTGCTGCTTCTGCCCCTGCTTCGTGCCTCTGCTTCGCGCGAGTGCAATGAGTTGGCTGTGCCACAGGCGCCCAATGAGTTGGAGCAGCGGCTCTGGGGTGAACTGGTGAAGGGCATCAAGTCAGTGCCTTGGCAGATCCGTTCCTCATATTGGGCCTTAACCCCCTCTGGGGCCCGGAGGGCTCCGAAGCTGCGCGAAGGAATGAAGTCTTTGACCAGAAACGGCTCTGCCTGCGCACAGCCTTGGCTTTTTGGTTATTACGTGATACAGTGATACAGTAGGTCTGAAGTATTTGGGACATGAAAACGTGCGACAGGTTTGCATGACCGACATGAAGATCTGGTCCCTCAACAGAGGAAGGATCCTGTTCTGGCCCTCCCCTCCGCACAATGCCGTTTTGTTTCCAAGCCGTTCTGGCCATGCCGCTGTTCTTTCGTTCAGGCCGGGGTGGCGGTGATCTTGCTGAGCCACGACGAGCTGCAGAAGGCGGAGCAGTTGCGCCTGGACTTCGAGGATGTTTGGGCCATGCACTCGGAGAGCCCCAACCTGGGCGAGTGATGCCGGTGAGGCGGAACGAGTGCGACCCCTCACGAGTTTGGCGAACTCGGTGGCGTTCGGTGGATGCTGATTTTCGAATGTTCCATAGAAGTCTCCTGGACGAAATTCGATGGAATCAGGTCAATCAGGTTTCAAGCAAAGAGGTGGGGCGTAGATGGCGCTTGGATCATTGGTGCGGATGTGAGATGAAGCTGTATATCCGGTGGAGATGCCTTCCAAGACCCTTGGCGAGATGAACCGGCCACAACAAATCCTTGGATTACTCCGATACCGTGAACAGGGCACGTGACACGCTTGAGCCGATTGACTGTCTACCTACTCCATCCCACCTTTGATTCCTAGGGGTGATCACCCACAAGCTTATGGCGCTATGCAGCTGTTATGCAGCCAAGTCTCACGTCTCACCTGTGCATGTTGTCGCCATCCGATGCTGTCTGCCGTTGCCTTCAATTTCATTGACAACAGAAGAACATTACAGAATATGAGAGGACTTCATGTCCAGCTGGGTGCAGCCTCCGTGCAGTGTCCGCCAAAAAAGGAACGCTGGCCGCTTTTGGTGGCGAAGCCTTAGCCTCTTGGGCCGCTCCTCAGACATCCATGCCTTGAGATGAACAATATACCTCTACCGCCTGAGTCTTCCTCCAATGGATGTGTCTGCGTGAATGAGGACATCGTTTGAACCGCTCAGCTCAGGTGGCATCGATGGGCCTTACTTCAAGGCGCTGGAGGCTGCGAATGGAGGCCGCATGGAGCTCCTCCGTGGACAGGTGCCCGGCGGGTGTTGAGCGGATCATGAGGGGCACTTGTAAGCTTGAGCACAGCAGGAACGTGCTCCTTAATGGGTGGAATTGGGATGAATCCTTGTTTACTGTGGTCCAAAGTACTCTTAGTCCTGGATGAACATGACCAACGTGGACGTGAATGTGTATATATCATTCCTGCAGGAAAGGGCCTCGGTTGTGACGCGGAAATTGGACTCGGATGTGACGCGGACCGTTTTTCTCGGATGTGACGCGGTTTGGTGTCGCAAAGGAGACCGTTGCCATTCCTGCAAGTTGCTGTGAAGCCATTGAACAATGCGTGCTAGCTGCTACTGATGACCATTGTTTTGAACCTTCAACAAGGGTAGATTCTGACTTTTTGGGGGGCATCATGCATTTTCCCTCCGATGACCATCTCGTCCAGGGCAATGACGCCGACACCGTGGGAAGCAAGAAAGTCTGGGTGCCGCCGATGCATCCTGAGCCGCCGATGTCGTGTTCCACGTCTGCCGATGCCGGGTGTGTCTTCCTCCTACAGGTCTATTTTTCCCTTTTTGAGGCGGTCCAAACTGGGCGGTAGGCCGAAATGTCTTGAGGCGCTCCATCGGCTGGGATCCCAGATCCGGACCGGGGCGGAGCCTGGGGCTGCTGAGGTCTATGATTCCAACGAGTTTCCCTTTCACCAGGCTGAGGTGGGAGCGGACGGATGGATCCCGAAAGGTCGCCGCGGCCGACTTCGGGGAGGTGAGACGGTGAGACTGGTGCTTAAAAGGACTGTGGCCGAATCCACGGGATTTCGGATTTTGTGGCCGAATCCACGATTCATTCCATGTGTCTTTTTTTTCTTCGGCAGATCTACCACCAATTCCATGATGACATGCTCGAGAAGTACTCCCAGGCAGGGTCATGAACGATATGGCTTGGCCAGGACTAGGCTGATGCTGAAGTCTCAAGATTGACAACGACTATACCACTGTCATACCAAACGATCATGTGCACACGTGTGTGAGTCAGCAAGTGATGGTTGATGCGCAGAAGTACCACAGCTTGAAGAAGTTGCTGGTGAGTCAAGGGACAATTCAGAAGGACTGGAGCTTAGTGACATGCAGATGCACTGCACAGGGCTTAAATCATGTTCAACCGCAGCTGCTGATGTATTTCTTTTTTGGATGTCTACTAGATTGCTAGATTCTACTAGTCTATCACATTGTGATGCTTCTTTTCGTGCGCTGGCCGAGTGTTAAGTGCAACAAAGACTGCCCAGGTTGCTTGCCCTGAGATGGGCTTCTGAACTGGTCATCTTTTCAGCTAAATGGGGCGAGCAATGTACAGGGCTGAGACGACCAAATTTTCAGCTTTTCGGCTGGCAAGTGCCATTGCCCAAAAAGGAGCGATACAGAGTCAGAGTGATACAGGGAAATTGAGTGGAAGGGTTTTGCTCAGATGACCCTTCAAAACAGAGACCAATTTGACCATGCGCAAGATGTCTTGCACGTTACCTGGTGCCTCACTGCGCATACCAAGGATGCTCGCAGGGGACACCTGTGAGACTGAGAATAGAATAGAATAGATACAGACCCAAGTCTGCAGAACTGTTGAAGTCACAAACCAAGCAGGGTGAAGAAGATTGGAAGCAGCTCCAACTGGTGGTTCCTTAGTATTATATATTGATACTACGGCGATGAATCGAGAGTAATGGAAGAATGCTGGTGTCTTCCTACGTCCCGCAATAGATGGCCTTGCGAGGGTTTTTTTCCGCGGCTGGCAACCTCCAATTCTTGGGATCCTCGAATCAGCATCCCCTTAATTGAGAGGTATTGTTTCAGGATGTTTCAGGTGGATTGACTCAAAACATACCAACCCCCCACTGGAACAACCCTGAAGACTTTCGGCTTGGCCATGTCTTTCCACTGCCACAGCGCAGCGGCAGCTGGCAGCGCATGAAGCTCCAGGTGGGTCGGTTTGGAGGCTGTTCCCCACGCGAATCACATCAAAGAGGCACCATAGGACTTATATAGGACCATTGGTAAAGCACATATCACATTGATGGGCCAGACAGAAGTGTTTATGCACAAACTGCTTGGCAGCATTTCTTCGATTTTGCACCTCCAAAAATCCATCCAGACCGTTGTTATATATATATATATACTTGGATCAACGAGATCCATCCACTGAGATCCATCCGCTGAGGTGGTCTTCACCGAACGGTCCAGTTGCTACTGCGCTTTGCACCCCAACGATGCAGCTGAGCTCTTTCCAGAGAAAACGCACCACGCACGACGCCACTTTTGCCGGGCCTTGCGCGTGCGGGGCGCACGTGCCGGTTCGGTGGATGTCTATGTGGGATGGGTCGGGGAACAGTCCCTGACAGCTGGGAGATTGGAGCTTTCCAAGCCCTTTGCAGAGTGCTTGGGTTTCCTGGACGATCTGGAGGTCGTTTTCAGCGCCCCATGTGTTCCACCAGAAAAAACGACTTCCCTTGAGTCGTGCACTGCAGCACGATCGTGCTGTATGGTGGTCAGCAAGGTGGTCAACCTTGCTGATGTTTTGTTTCGAGTTCAATGAACAAGTGTCAGGGATGTGATTTGCAGGTACTGGTTTAGCAGGTGTTTCGTTTAAAATCCTGGCGCACTTGTGAAGACCCAGAGGGGAAGGGAACAGACTACAATTGTACGGTCTTTGATCCAACACATTGGAATTTTGCCAAAACTATCTGCATATGGTTTTTGCAGACTGGCTAAATGCAGTTGGAGCATCTCCAAATATTTGCAGCTGATCCCAGGTTTGGATGAGGGTGATCAAGTGGAGGCCTTTGCGCATGTGGCCCCTATCGCAGCCACCGTGATGGTTCAACCGACGCTAAGCTTCGCGTGAACGTCGAAGTCAGTTTTTATAAGGAGGGGAGGGTGTTCTTGTTGGAGGCCATCGCTACTAGGACGGTGGCCATTGCCATTGGGTTGGAGGCCATCGCTATTAGGTTGGAGACCATCGCTATTAGAGAGGCGGGTGTTCTTGATTCCTTTTTTTGCCAGCGTTTCCAGCTTGAAGATTGTTTGGTGCAGGGCATGGTGCTGTGCACAGACTCAACTGTGAGAGACTGACAATCGGCTTGATGACCAACTGCATCAGCTCAGGAACAGCATCGATGACTTTGAGGCCAGGATGAAAGAAGCATCGTGCCCTGTGGTTGATGCTGCTGGGCCCTGCGAAGCTGACGCAACAGAACCAAGTGGTATGATGCAGTAAGGTGCAGGAATTCATACCTTGACCAAAACATTGAAGGCACTCTGAATCATGAGGAATCACGTGAGGCCACCCCAAAAAGCTCTGCAATGCATGTTCACATGTTCTCTTGAAGATGCTGCCCTCAGTTTGGCCCAGACAAACGACCACCGCTGCCCCCCTCCCGCAAAGCTTTCCAAACTCTCAGTCTTGCTGCAGGTCGTGGAGCTCCAAGCTAATTTCATCGAGGAAAATCTCTTGGCCCAGGCCACGACCGATTGCCGCCGGCGAAGCCAAGTGGTCTCGGTGGAAACGCTGCATGCCAAGGTCTCGGTGCTGATGCCTGGCATGGCCTTCCCTGTATGGGTAGAGAGCTCAGGGATGGGAACGAGCTGGAGGAATTTGATCAATGAAGAAACCCAAGGAGGTACTGTAGTAGAACTGTAGATCAAGAAAGTCCTCCGTTTGATTCTGCTTGAACATTGAATCTGCTTGGCTTGCAGGGAATGGACACTCTCCCTTTCCGAACTCGCGGACGGACCCGTCCAACCCCATCGATCTCCTTCGGTCGCTGCGGAGCCCTCACTCCCCGATCAGGTGCATGGACAGTTGGTGGCCAAGCTTCGAGTGGATCCGGCCGACGAGAACACGCCCTCTGGCGACGAACCGTTTGCGGTGCAGGGGCTTCCGGAGGCGGAGGGAGCGAGGTTTGGCCGGCTCCGGACGGAGGAGCATCTTCTCCAGTTCAACCGGGAGCCGTTTGGAGCTAAACCGGGAGGGGGCCCCAACCCCTTGGTCTCAGGAGATGCCTTCAGAACTTTCCTCCGAAGATGTGGAGAGCAAACACATCGAGATGGGGAGACTAGGTGTTTCTTGTTTCATGGAACAGACTGATACCTGCAGGTCTGGGAGGACATCTGTTAGCGAGGGGAAGTGGATGAAGACTCTCTGCCACGCGAATCTGTCATGTACAAGTCCCGCCAAGCCTGCATACTGTTGGTTCCAAGACATGTTTGTCTATAGTCTATAGTGTCATAGTGTCTTTGTCACTAGCAGCACTGGAAGATATCCTGTGATGTATCAGCACTGGCTTGGCTTGAGTGTTGCCCTCAGGTCACCTTGCTTCATGCTCGGCCGTGACACGGAGCCTGCTGGCCTGCCGCGACACGTGTGTTGGTGTGGATTGTGTATCCTCAGATGTTTGGCACACGTCACACCAACCGGGGCCGAGTTTCCTCTTCACATGTGGCTTAGCCATCGCAGATGTTCTTGGCATTGGGATTTCTCCAGCTGGTCTTGTCCTGGCTTGCGGGAGTCATTCGAGACAAGAAAACTGCTTTAGACTGCAATCCCCGCAATGTTCCAACCAAACTCATCATGGCGTGGTTACACGCGTGAAAGTGGTCTTGCGTGGGCATCCTTTTCTAGTCTGAATCAGGTCTTGCGCTTTCTCATCATGCAAACAAAAGATGAAGACCCAGATGACCCAGGCATGACCATCAAAAGGAAGGGAGCCCTTCTTGATTTAGGAGCAAGGACGCTACTAGGAACAAAGGGCATCGCTACTAGGAGCAAGGACGCCACTATCAGCTCCTGGCCTTACTACTAGGAACAAGAAGCTACTAGTAACAATGGCATCGCTACTAGTAGCAAATTAGCTACATCTTGGACCTTTCACCTGTCGATGCCAAAACCGGTAAGCCTTGGACCGGTCTGGTGGTCTCCCGCCTTTTTGCATCGAACGGGAGGAGCTCGCCATCGAGTCGCGCCGGAGGGATGGAGCTGTTGGGGGCCACGGGACGGTCCTCGGTGACCGAAACACCGGTGTGACCGGTGCGACTCGGTGGTCCAAAAACGGATGGTGAAAAACCGAGTAGTTGTCATGGAAGCGGGTGGGAAAAAGGTTGTTCATGTTCAACCAGGGACCTCTATTATGTTCCTTATCATATATTATTATCATATATTATATTTTATCATAAGCCCTTTTGTCAAAGTACATACAGGCAAGCGTCCCATATCCAAACTCCTTCACCTCCGGAAGTGATAGTTCTGCCATGGCGGTCCGGTGCGGCCGCCGAACACGGCCGTCCAGTGCCCGTGAGATCTACTACTTCGGGCCATTAAAATCAGCCAGTGAGAAGTTTGGAGCATCACACTTGACACCAGCCAGTGGCCCTCAGGGAAAACCGACTCAGTCAAGTCCAAAAAACATTTGGCCACAGCTTCTTGAGCATACCCTGCTCCATGTGCCGTGCTCACACGACCTAGTTTCCTTAAATTCCTTAGATCACGATTTATGTGGTTCATTGTGGTTCCAAGTGCCACTTCCATTGCAGGCACTTTTCCAACTGCTCAGGGTTCTAAGTATACCTAGAGTTTCTAAGTGTAGTACACTTAGAACCACTTGTGCAGGCGTTTTTCATTTTGGAGTTGTTTTTTTTTCCAAAAAGGGGTTCGACTTAAGAGTCCGTCACTATAGACTATATTTATTATCATATCAGATTACTTATGCTTTTGACCTATGCTTCATACAGTGGAAACCGTAGAAATGAACCGACTGAAGCGGATTTGCTGGGCAGGGCGGTCATGGATTCTTTGTTCCGCATCTTCTCCGGCTGCGGAACAGGTTTCTATCTCAGCCAGTGACATGAAGGACAACTGCTTCCACTTGAGGGTCTTCACTTTCGATGAGGAGCCTCTTGTTTCGATGATGAGTCTGAGAGAGTGTTTTAACGGATCCGGAGGACAATTCAGCATAGCAACACTGTCCATTGGAGTCTTTTCATCGATGCCGGAGAGATTGGCGGTCTCCACTGAGACCAGTCGACCTACAAACACCGAAACCAGTGTTTCACTGAGATGCTTCCAGTGAAACACACATGAATCCTGGTCAGGACATTGACCTCCCACGTGGACTGGTGAATGAGAAGGACCTGGTCCCCAGTGAAGAGAACCTGAAAAAAAATAGCTCACCGTGAGCCTCGTGAGCTTCTGAAAGGTGGATGGAGACGTTGAAAATCGGTGGAGACGTGGAGGTCGGCGATCTGGGCGCAACACGAAGAGTTGGAGAAGCAACGGCTTTCTGAAATCAATACACAAGTGTCCCAATAGCCAATAGCCGTCATTCTTCAAGTGAGTCCTTTGCAACCCGTGCCCTGGATATTTTAATTCCAAAGAGGTAGGTTGAGAGCACTCAACCAGAATGCACTTGGCAGCTTTGGAGGACTTGGAATGCTTCGCCAGTGGCGTGTCTAGCTGTTTGGCATGGCTTGACGTTGCGAAGACTCGCCAGTTGAGGCGGAGATCAAGCCGTGGGCAGCAGGGGGCATCCAACTGGATCGGACGATTCGGTTTGAATTGATTTTGGCTTACCCAAACTGAGGCCACGGACTCAGGGTGAAGGTATTGGACCTGAGTGTCCCAACAATAGAGGGAGGGGTTGTCAAGAAATACCGCCGTTTGGACGTCCATTTCGCACATTTTTTAGAACATGTTAAGACTGTCTCTATTTTCCTTTCATCAGAAAACATAGAGCGTATTGCACTGGTTCTATTGCAATTGTTATTTCAGGATCTCTTGCAGTTGGTTGAAGGTTCTCTCTGCTGAACTGTGTACACGCGTCTCAAACCATGCAGTAGGATGCAGCTGTCATTCAACGAACGGGCCCAATGTGTTCAGTGCTTGGTTTTGAATGATGTAACTTCTGTTCCACAGCTCTTTTTGAACCTAGTCATAGCATCTGTTGTTTTCGGGAAGCTATTTGATATCTTCAAATCAGTTATCAGCTCCTAAAGTCGGAGGCTCAGGTGTCATTTTGCCCCCTTTAGCATCACTGACATGCACCCAGACCTCCGTTTCTCCAGACCTGCGGGCTCTCCTGACATGCACCTCTTGCGGCTGGATGTTGGAAAGGCAGGGCTCGCAGGGCGTTTCGAGGACACCCGCGACGGGCGCCCAGCCCGGGAGCTGGACGGAGCGCCCAGCGCTCCCGCAGCGAGGTTGCAGGATTCTGGAAGCGGTTGAGTCGGATCCTGGAGAGATCATGAGTGGGAGGATGAGCTTCGGGCAGTGGACAGATGCCCCGAAGTGATTTGCCAGCGGTAGGAGGGGTCGTTGTTCTTTTTTGTCCAGTGGATGCAACGTATATAAAATTTTGCATGATTATATTAAATTGATTAATCATATTATTTTATATTATATACATATTGTAAATTCGATTACATTCTGCATATGATCTTGTATCTATAAATGCCCTGGGGACCTTTCCTAGACTTCCAGATGGATGGTTGAGAAGTCACGAATCTCTTCAGGTCCCGCGTGGCCACATCATCCTCGGCGTCGCTTTCTCAGACCGCCATGGCATCGAGGTCCGTTCAAGCGCCATGTGGAGCAGAGGAGAATGGCCATCTTTTCGGAGAATGGCCAGTTTTCATCCAAGTTGAGCAACATGAGAAAGAAGGTCGATAGTTCAAGCACACACTTGATAACATGCGACAAGCAGATTCTCTTCAAGTGACAAATTCAGACTCAAGCAGATGTCAAACATGTGACAAAGCGACATGCCCTTCTCTTTACTCTTTGATAACACATATGGAAGCTGCCTTTGTGGGAGTTTGGTGAGTTCGGTCGATGTGGTCAGAGGAGCCTCCTTTGACCTCTCGGGTTTTCTCCTCACCCAGGCAAGCTTCTCCTCTGCCGTCCACGTGCCCTGCTTTGGCCTCGCAAAGCTCTGGCGCTGCCTGCAGGCTCCAACATTCCAGCAAATGGTATCCAAACGAAAGGATTCTGCCTTGGCATTGCGAACGCCAGCCCAAGCACATAAGCACAAAAAAAGTACGGTATACTAAAGTAGACAAAATAAATCAAGCGTACATTCAATCTAATCTAATTTTCATTATATATTATATGTTCGTTTACTTGTCCGGAAAAGCGACTTCACCACAGGATGGTACAGGATCCCTTTGTTCTGAGTGATGATAAGGATTTTACATGTCTGTGACTGAGACGATCACTATGGATCTCAGGCATCAACCAGCCGCCTGTTCAACAACTAGTTTCCAAGATCTTCCGAATGAGCTAGAAGGATCAGAGGTCCTTCACAGTGACGCTCATTGCCACTTTGCTTTGGAGTGCGGTTGGCCTATGTTTAGGGGATGGGACATTGACCTTCATCAGGTCATCGCTTGTCATGAAAAAATTGGAACTTTTCCCCATCCAATCCCTTCAAATCATCTTTCATAGAATTACCTCTGACCCACTGAACAAAGGCTGCTTTAGAGCCAACATCATTTTCAGAGGAGCCACACACCCAGAAGGTGGTTGTCATGGATCGCATCTGCCGAAATCTGCCCGCAGCCGCGCTCCATCCTGCCTACAGGTGCCTGCCTACATCCCGCGGGTGGAATTGGTGCCGCAGGTGGCTGGAGGAGCAGCGTGAAAGTTGGATCAAGTTTGGTGTTCAGTGGTGGTGCAAGCTGGATCCATCAAGTCCAGGTGGAATGTGGCTGACTCTCCTCAAGGTCGGATTTGGGCAAGTCTGACGAGATGAAGTTGGGAGGATTCATCGACATGGAACCTTCAGACAAGTTCTGTGTTACACCATTCCGTGAACATTCGAGAAATGGCCTAACATTCCAGATGGTTCAAAGGGAATCGCCAAAGACTCACTTGGAGAGACAAGTCAAAGGTCTTTCCCAGCAAGGCAAATATATAGCTCCATCTCGCACAGCTTGTGTGCTCTTACCACTTCCAAGGCTATGGCAATGGAAACAGGGGTCGTGCTTAAATCTGCTTAAAACAGTCTCAACTCCTGTCGTGAACGCATTCAAACACCTCATTGATGGTCGACACGCATTTCGATTGTGAAGATTGGGAGTGATATTTTGAATCTCTTTTCCATCATGGAAGCGTCCAAACACCACAGGCAGAAGGGAAGCCACTCCCTCACCTGGGGGTCGGGTTTTCACAATCATGAACACTTGCAGAGTGAAGCACGTCAATCAGAGACTCCAGGAGCGGATGATTTCAGAGATATGGGCTGGCTACGAAGACGCTTCGAAAGCCTTGTCAAAGCACATGGCGAAGCCCGAGCCCCAGTGCCCCTTGTCGAAGCCGCGACGACGGTGATTGGTTTGTAACCGTTCGCCGGGGGTCCAGTTGACTGAGCAGCAGAAGTCTGTCTATATATTACGAAGCCTCTTGGTGCTCAAGCCAATCTTTGCTCCTCCGATGTATCCTCCCTGTGGGTGCCAACAAGCAACTTCGAGCGATCTGTGTGACCGATCTCGGACGATTTTGCGCGCGACCTTGCGAGCTGGACTTCTGGAAGGTCCGCCCGCGTGGCGCACGGGACTTCTGTCTGCCTTCAGTTGCCTCCTTCACTGGTCGCCCAGCCGGCGGCGGTCACGGCGATCACGGCGCCGCACGGTCACGGCGGTCACGGCGAGCGTCACGCGTGACGCGGAGTTGGTGGCAGAGCCTCGGTGGCTGGGTGGCGGAAGCTTCGCCGAGTTAGACCTTCGTGATCTCGGGGTGTTGCAAGTCATGTTTCCCCGATGTGATGGCAGGCACTTGTGATAGAGAGGGCACGACCAGATTTTGATAGAACGCACGCATGTCATGTCTGATTTTAAGCCTATGAGCCCAAACAATCCAACCCATGATTTACCAAAACGCGATTTACCACGAGCAGCTCAACCACCTTAAGAGACAAAGAGCGAGGGATCCTTGGTAAAGCCTTAAGGACTGGAAGAGGTGATCAATGACTTCAAGGTGGTCATCATCCAAGGAGAAGGCACCATCTATGGGCAGAAGGCAGTGGCGAAGGTATTTCCGTGGGCTGAAGATTGCCTTCGCGAGTTGAGGAGCTCTCACTCTCAAATCCGCCGCGTACTCTTGAGCTCCATGCGATGTGGTGATTTGGAGCAGCTCAAATCCGCAGATTTGAAGTCCAAAAAAATCCGATGTTGGTGAATGCTCACCGACATGACATGCCACTCTTTCAGGTAAAGGGCCACCCAAGAAAAAGAAGGCGGGTCAAGCAGTAACACTTGGGAGAGTCAAAAGATGTCAAAAAGCTACTCGTACGAAAACACAGCTGTTCCCCAGGTTTTCTTGGCTCCTTCCTATTTCCGCTCAGGAAGCTGGGGCTTCATCAAGGTGAACACTACGACATGCTTGTCACATCGGAAGACTTGGATCTGACAGTATACACAAGAAACCACACCTTGCTGGTAGGAGACTCCATTGGTTTCATGGAGAGGGCAGAAAGGGAAGGCTTCCCTGCGGCTTTGGTGTCTCGAATGTATGTCTCAACAAAAATATGTGATCCATATTTCACCATTTTTCACCACTGTGGACGGGGCGTTGCCTTTCAAGACAATCAATTCAAATCAACTCTGTCCCTTTCTTTGTGGGTGGGCTGCCGTTTTTCACGCGTTGTAGGAATCACATGGAAGAGCAGCTATTCCGCGTTTCGCACTGCTTCACACGGAATCTCTAGCGTTTAGGACCTGAAGACACCTGCTCAGCACCTCTGAGTGTTCATCCGCGGAACTTGACCGCGAGTTTTTCATCCAACGTTGTTGCTTCTTCCCGACGGAAGTCTTTGGGAAACCTGAGAGTGCAGGTCCCGTGGGTCTTTTCTCCAATGACACGAGCACCGAGGTCTGTTCTGGTCAGTTGAGCCAGTTCTTCGATCTGTCACCAGCACCCAACATCGACGTCCCAGCCAATGGGGGCCATTTCGTGGAGCCGGACCCATGCACTTGGCAAGAGGCCTTTGGCACTCGTCCTAGGCCGCGCTATGGCCTCGCCTGTTTCGCCTTCTCGGAGTTTTGGAAAAGAAAGAAGTGACGAGTGACATCCTGATGGTGGATCAACACCTGGCCTTGTAACGAATAGAGAGGTGTCAAGAGAGGTGTCATGTATTTATGCTCACATGTTGTACAAATCATTGTAAATCCCAACTAGGTAGAAACACCTGCCCAAACATTGACTGTGTTGGTCACAATTCTATCTACAAAAGTGATACCTTGGTGGAGATTCTAGAAAAGGCGAGAAGGAAGAATTGAAGAACCTTGAACTTTGATGTCTACTGCCTCCCTCCGGATAATGATTCTGAACGGAGTTGCTACCCCGAAAGCTTCGGCCGAGTGTTGTGGAGGACTCCTGAGAGAAGACATGCCAAGAAAAAATCGCCAGGTTGATGCTATGAGATCTTCATTTCTGTTCATAGTTACACTTGGTTGGTGCCACGTCCCAGCCAAGCCGTGACTCGGGACGTCGCTTCGCCCCTTAAGGAAGGCTTCTTCTTTCGCTTCTTTGCCGAGCGCCGCGCCCTGGCGAGACGGCGCCACAGCCAGAGATCCGGGGCGCCGGGCGTCCCGGAGGACGAATGACGGTGGTTCCGGTGAACCTCGAGGAAAAGAATGGAAGAACGCGCTGCCTCCAGCTGCCTTGCTTGGGAAGATGGATAGTTTTTTCTTCCGGCCGCCGGGACAAGTAGGGCAAGTACATCCTCAGTGTTTCGAGGATGTGTGGTTGAAGAGTATCACTGCAAGCGCCGCATTGCGCAGTTTGGCACATCCTGGCACCATTGCTACATTCCGGGGCCAAAAACTTCGAGCGCGGTTGGTTTCTTTCGATGGTCAATGGCTGCGGTAAGCCTTGCGAGCGGAGTCTTTTTGGGCTAGGCAAGCCTTGCGAGTGGTCACCAAAGCGGTTGAAAAGAAGGCAGTGGCTCATGCGCTTTATATACTTCTACAGTGTGCATCAGACAGGAGAGATGCAAGATTGCTGTTGCCATTGGTTTGCATGAGGCGAACTTGCTTGTGATTTGCCTAGAAACAATGTGACTGCGCTACAAACTGGGTAGGGGGCGTTGAAGCTTCATAGTTGGCCATGATGTGTTCGTGACATGCCGTGACTGAAGAGGATATTTTCAGCAAAAGTAATCAGCCAGGGGCCAGGATACACCGGATACACCTCATCCCTTGAAAGAACCTTATGGAGATAGCCTAGTTCTGCAAGGGAGCCAAGACCTATGCAAACAGATCCATCGATGGGTTGTGACACTGAAGGGTGTGAAGTTACTGCAAGAAGCTCCATTCTTTTATGCCCGAAGCTAAAGATGAGACCGCACCTGACCGCACCCCTGTCGCACCAGCGACCTTGACAGCGTGGGCTATCGGCCTTGTCGCATGTGGTCGCTGGTGCGTCTTCGGCTCCTATTTTGGGGGTTGCATGCCTGGAGCTAGGGGCCCATGAGGCCCTTTGGGAGGCCTTCCAGCCATGGTCAGAACGATCGACGGCACGGGCGACGGAACGGACCATTGGAACACTCCGAACGACGGACGCCGGGTGCGAACGCTGCGGAACTGGTCGGAACTCGGTGAGCTGACTGCGACAGACGGTCAATGAACGAGTCAACCAAGCACTGGCCGCTTCAAGCTAAGCCGTGGGAGTTTCATTGGTTTGAAAAGGTGGATGGTGACCCGAACCAATGACTCATGAACTACCCCACCGACACGGAGTCATAGCCCACTACCATGAGGGTAAAATGAGTCATCTGGACTTGCAAGGGTGGATGGTGACCTTTGGATTGCACGTGTAGGATAGAACAGGAGCCGCAAATGAGATTTGTTATATATTATATAGGTCTTATATGGGTGGGACATGGCAAATGTATGCAAATGTGCTAGGTGGTCGTCTGAAACTCGCTTACATGCCCATTAACGGCACTTCTAATTTTCCACCAAGCTGCAGAAGGGTGGTCTTTGAATTTAGCATCCAAGAACAAGCAAGACCAGAAGAGAGCCTGGTGGATGCCAAAAACATCCGTTCCTTTCCTGGTTGTCCCAAAAAAACCTGGCTCTGTGAAGTCCTTCACCTGTTTTCGCTGAGATCGAGCTCGCTGATGGTGCCCCACTGCTCTTGCGTGGGGAGGCCCTTGTTGGGGAGCCCGGTCAAGCGACACGACCGAAGGCGGACGCATCAGGACATCTTCACGTGTCGCTGATGCCCTTGGTTTGCTGGGATAGATCCCATCTCCAAAACCACAAGCCGTAGCTAAGTATGGAGAGTGTCTTTGCTGTTAGCAGCTGAGTCTTTCGCAAGTGGGTGCCTCTGCAACGCTTTGCCCACAATAGATTGGGCCAAACATGAACCGAATCAGCAAGTCTACCTGTACGGCTTTACGAGAATGGTTCTACAGCTGAGCTGAGATTTCTCTGATATGCAAGGAACATGTTATACAACATGTAAAATTCTCAACGGGTGGCGTAGGCAACCTGCTTGGGGACATAGGCAGTCGTAGGCTACGTAGGCATTTGTTGTGCAATATTTGTCGTAGGTCTTGCCGTAGGCGACCATACATCCACTAAAATAGCATGCCTTGGATTTTGGGTTGTTGTGTCTCAACTTGTTGTGCTTTGTCCATGAGCAATCTTACTCAGGGCCACTGTCTCTGTGTGGGAGATGAGAACACCCAACAGTGTTTGTCAGTGTCCCAAGGCGTTTTTTTTTGTCTATTTTTCCTAGGGGCATTTTCCGTAGGCTCACAGTAGGTTCTCCGTACAGCCACCGCATGCGAAATCACATTTCGTCATTTTCTCAACGAGATCTCAAAAGCGGCGGTGCTGAGACGTACTCCCGATGTCAAAGACACGGGGCGACGGGGAGGTTTGCAAGAACTGCATGGTACTGCAGGCAACTTTGCAACAGTATTTCTCTAAAATCTAACGATCGTAATTTTACATAGGCGTTTTAGAATGAGTAATGTCTGCCGTAGGCTTTCACTGTGGAAACGCAGGCAAACTGTAGGGTTCTACGCAAGCACCCAAGGATGTTACCACCATCACCTCTTAAAGAAATCTCTGCTCAGCCAAAAAGAACGCTAAACAAGAAAAGTCTGAGCAGACTTGTGCAGCTACTGTCCAAAACAACTGAGCCATATTTGTTTTGCTACACATCCATCCCAGGTCTCTTCTGATTCAACCAGTTGTGGACACTTCTTCGGCTCCAACGCCCCAAGGCCAAGCAGTCCACGGGGCCCACCGAGGGGCGTTCCAGCGCCAGCGGTACAGAGGTCGAGGTGACCTTGGTTGCAGCGGGTGCGGGTGCGGGTGGTGCGGATGCAGAGAGGTTCGGGTGGACGACGGGGAGTCAACAAGGCTGTCATTCATGGGCTGGGGGTGGAGGGAAATATTTCAGGGTGAGATCTGACCTAGCTAGGGAAATGGAGGGGGTGTATCGTAAAGCTTCAGGAAAGTCCTTCAATCTCCCTTACTCTTTTGAAGCATGGCGGTTTGAAGGATGATCAAACCATCGATGCGTAGGGTTGAGGATAAGATCAAAGGGGAAACTCACCATGTTCTTTGAGGAATTTCATTTGCACCGTCCCGGTGCTGCTGGACCATAGTATAGAGGAATGACTGTCCCATTCGATGTTCCATTGTCTCCTTTGTCAAGCCGCCAGGCTGACTTGTATGAGGGCCTTTCTGATATTGATGACATCTATCAGCTGGCACCCAAGTTCTTTTGTGTGCGAAACTGGGAAGTGCGACATTTCAGGATGCGGTCCACAGGAGATTGTCCTGGCAGTGCCAGTCAGTTTCGGTCAAATTCATGGATAATACTTTGAAAAGGGACCAAGGAATCTTGAACTTGGTCTTGGAGACACAGGAGAACCTCCCAAAGACGCTCAGTGATGGGGTTCCGGCATTGTGAATTGTCAAGCCACAGGACGGAAAGTAATCTTACGCAAGATGTGAATACATGATTTAAACCAACACCGTGCTGGAGAACAGTCCCAGTTGAATGACCATCAGCTCAGCTCCAACATCGGACGTGCTGATAGACGTCGACGTCGGCGAGCAGAGCAGAGCACCGCCTACGTGCAGAAGCATGTGAATTCCCGCCAACCGGTGGATGTTTCGGCTGAGGGAAACTACCGGCACAATACAGTTGAAGGAAGAACCACCTCAAAACCACCAAGACCACCATACAACGCCGTCTGACATGGTGGGACATGATCCATCAGGTCGAAGGATGGACCCAGCAATCCTTCAGTTCAGATAGTTCAGAGACTGATCACAAACCCAAGATCACTAGGACTCCTTCAGTCTATCATATCTGTCTCAGGTGGTTTCCATGGAATTCATCCACGGCTTTCCATATTTCACGTGAAATTCCATTGGACACACCACAGGCACCGGAGCGAACCGGCCATCTGCGCGGATGAGGACTACGGGGTTTACGAGGCGCGATGACTGCGAGGGCAGCGCTGGGGCTCCAGGCAGTTGGCGGAAAAGAGGTTGCAAAAGATCAATGGTCAAAGAATGTCAAAGAGTTATCATGATAAATATGTATATATATATATAAATACACAAACGTCATTGACTCAGTTTTCAGCGCACATGCACGCGAATCAACGCACACGACAAAAAGACCGCAAAACGCCCACAAAAATGTGCAAACGACCGAAAACATCCTCCAAAAAACACAAAACAAAAAACGACCAAAGCGGCGAAAAAGCAAAAACGACCGGATATTTTTGGTAATTGGAAGATCCAGGTATACATAAATATTTGTATCTGTTTAGCATTGTTTTCTAAAATCGATTTCAACATGATCCTTTCTGCTGCTTTCCTCTCTCCTCTCTGCTGTTGCGCTGCATTCCTGCTTTTCGTTGATCTTTAAACTGGGAGATGTCCACAGGTGCTTGGCTTGATTTGGCTTGGCTGCACACTTCGAACCTGGCAAACCAATGCAAGGGGAACTTGTGACCCTGAGAGCCTGAGACTCGACCCTTTTCAAACTGCAGGACCTCCATGTGAATCCCCTGTTTTGAGGGCCGCTGAGTTTGTCAAATCCCTGTGCTCCAAGGGAGCAGGGTGAGTGGCTTGAGAAGTGGAATCCAAAGCATCACACCATGACAGAACAGGGTCTCAGATGCACCAACGGACCTCCATCCGTTCCATCGCATCTCACCTTGCACAACAAGCACACACACACACACACTCACTCACTCACACTCACATGCCTCACGTGCACCTCCGCAGGCATTTTAGCTCAGACCCGACTCGTTGGTTTTCTACAGCTTCGCAGTACGGAGGTCCCCCATCGCCCCGATCGCCGCGTCGGACGCGTCCGGAGCGGCGACGGAGGGCGCGCATGGAGGCAATAGATCCGTTGGTGGAATGTGAGTCGCAAACGGTTGTCCAGCCACTTGCCTGCAGATGGAAAGATCATTCAACGGTTTCGAAGAAACAGTGGCTGTGGAAGATCTAAAGTCTTTCACTTCCATCTGACCACGTCAGATCAGATCAACTGATCCACAAGATTCATAGTATATAATATTATACAAAACACTGCATGCATAATGTATGTGTATATATATATATACATGATAATTATAAGTACATAATATTGTACACATACAGTATAGTATCAAAATCTAATTGATCACCTCGCACCCGTTTGGCACGGCAGCGAGGCCCCGCCCAGGCGGGCCGCTCGGGCGCCGGCTGGGCTTCGGACTGGGCCTCCTGGCGGCCCTCGCGGCCGGCGCAGCGCTGTGTGGCGCTTCTCGTGGTGTCGGACTGGGCGAGGCCAAGACGATGGAGAGCATCCGGGAGTTCGACCTCACAGGTGCAAAAGCTGGGTGGATGGTGGAGTTTTGCCTTTTTTTCCCACCTGTCAGGTGAGGGTTGTTAGATTCTATGTCAGCTGCCGTGCTTCTTCTCCTCTCCTCCTCGTCCTCCTCAACTGCGAGTGTCGGATGGCAGTGTTCCCTGCCGGACCTCAACCGCAGCTCCAGATGGCGGTGTTCCCCGCCGGACCTCAACTGCCAGCTCCGGACGACAGTGTTCCCCGCCGGACCTCAACCGCCAGCTTCGGCTGGCACTATTCCCCGCCGGAGCTTCGGCGGGCAGTGTTCCCCGCCGGACCTCAGCCGTGAGTCAGAAGATATAGCAGATAGAACGCCAGAAAGAGTGTCAGACAATATGCAGAAGATATGCCGGAAAGAATGTCAGTAGTTAGATATGCCAGATAGAAGTTTCAGAAGATATGCCAGAAAGCTCGCCAGAAGAGATGCATAAAGAATGTCAGAAGATATGCCGCTGCCGGAAAGCGTGTCAGCAAGAATGTCAGATGAACGCATGTCAGACGATGTGCCAGAAAGAATGTCAGAAGATATGCCAACAAATGTCAGAAAGAACGTCAGAAGATATGCCAGAAAGAATGCCGACATAATGTTCATCACATGCTAGGAAAACGGTCCGATTGAAATGTCATAGTGGGGCTCACTCGAAGTAAAGTGTTTTTCCAGGGTGAAGGGTTGGGCTTGGATTTTGGAGATGGATGTTTTGCATGTTTGGGGTGAAGTTTGGGAGGTTCGATTGTGCGGATATCAGCTAAGGTGGCAGAGATGTGGCAAATATGTGTGGAAAGGATTGTGAAGTAATATATCACGATCATATCAGATAGTCACACGATGACTTCAGTAGTGGGGGTGTGTGGAAGATTGGAGTGTGCGTGTGTGCATGTCGAATGTGAGTGACATGCATTCCACGTCCACTGCATCACTTAACTAGGATTTTGCGGACATGCAGGCCGAAACACGAAACACAAGAACTCCCCAAAATGCAAGCTCCGCTTTGACACCCCTCCCCAAGCGCTTCAGATGTTTTGCAAGATTGCTTGCTGCAAGATTAGACTAACTGAGAATAGAGAGGCAACGTTTCGCATTTCGCGACAGAGAAATTGTCATTCTTGGGAGGCATGAAAACTCTGAAATGTTGGAAGAATAAGACCTTCTACGTGGAAGCCAATGGCGACTTCCAAATGCCCAAGACGTCTAAGACCTCCACGGTGGGCCCTGCGGCGTGCCAGCTGATGTGTGCCAGCACCTTCGGATGTGAACATTTCTCCTATTGGCGCCTTAACCAAACGACGGGTGGAATGGAGGCTGCTTCTGTTCGTTCTCTTTTCTTCCTTCTTCGTGTGCACGCGCATGCACGCGTGGGTACAGAGACCAGACAAGACAGGTGCGTATCGTGAACATTGATCACAGATCGATAGGATCTTGATAGGGTGATGTGCCATAGATTCGCCTCTAGTAACAGCGACTCTTGGTAGATCTAGGTACAAGTAGCTGTAGATTTTAAAGATCTATAGTCTATAGGGATCTATAGGGTCGAAAGGTACACCTGTCTCAATCCGACGGCAACTCCATTTTCTGGATGTTGAAGGAGTCCACTCCGTTTGTTGATCCAGAGGGAGATGTGCCAATTGACAGGCACCCACTCCTGCCAGCCATCCCCAACAAATCGAGTCAACACAAAAGACTCTCACGAGGAATTGGACGCTGAACCTCGATCGGTATCAGATCAACCTCGGCCTTGCGCCTCGTGAGGAAGGACGGAGGTTGCCTTTTGACCTCATTCTCAGCTCATCCCAAAGCCTACATTGGGCCTGACGACAATGGCGTGATCAGTGGACCACGGGAATGCAAAGAGATCGATAACGGGCCGACCATGGTCTTCGAAGGCTCAGCGCTAGGCCTTCCAAAGCTTCTCGGCGAGTTGAAGGACGCTCAGTTGTACTGACCCGGTTGCATAAACTCATATAAACTCCACCCCAGTGCATTTGGTTTGGGAGTTCTCAAGGGGGATGCTCCTAGCCTCTGGAAGAGGATTCGCTTTATTTCTCGAGCGGATGAGGGCTCAAGCTGTGCATGCACAATTCCTTTTTGTCCGTATGTTACACTGAGATGTGCTTGCGGTTCCAATGATTGTGATTGACATCAGTATGTTGTTGTCTTTGAACCATGGACGGATGTCCTGAAGCTTTGCTTGGCTGAGGCTCGTGGCTGGTTAAGTAAGGTGAGGCATCTGGAACTTGCACCCTGAGGTTTCATGCCCATAAAGCTGGTGGATGTGGCAGCCTTCATGATCACTACAAGCTGGCTTGGTCGGCTGAAGGTGAAACGTTCTTCGACGAGTGGCAGTTCATCAACAAGAGTGAGACGCGAGGCGCAGATATGCGGAGCGTAGTGGAGTGCCTCCTCGTGGTTGAAAATGGTTTGAAAGAAAGAACAAGCAGTCTTGGGTGACACAGAGCACCAGATTTTGGATGATTTGTGAGGGGATCATGATGAGATTTCCAGCATTGCCAGGTTTCGAGGTTCAAAGCCCAAACCGAAGATGCAGTGAGTTGGGAGGGCCCAATCTCGAACCCTCTCGAAGCTGCAAATTGGACATTCTGAATGCTTAGTAAATTTATGTATTTGTTTTGAAGAGAGAGGTTGAAGGGTTGACATTATTGAACCACGAAAAACAATTGGCCGTTTTGACTAAGTACAGGAGATTCAAGAAGATTCGGGAACCTTCAACTCATTCTTTCAGAGTCAAACACATTGGGGATCTACGCCTTCCGCCCTCTCCGCGCCAGGTGCGGAGTGGTATCTCAATAAGACAGAGGCTTTTTACCAAGGCACTGTCGGAGTGTCGTGCTTTTGCGTGTTGCCTTTGTCATCAGGAAATCGCAAATGACAAACATTGTGGGAGCAGTATGCCATGGTTCCCTCATCATTTGCTTTTTTTTGCCACTTCTACTGGTCCTTTGCATGGTTTTTGTCACTTCTACTGCTACTGCCCTGGTACCCACATCTGACTTCGGACTTGCCGTCGCGCGGAACTCCCCCTCCACTCGCGCCGGTTGGGTGTGGTTCGCCCGTCGCGGTTCGCGTCGTCAGGTGTGGTCCATGCCTCGAAGGCCGGTGCTCTGCTCCGTGTGGGCGAGCAAGTGCAACCCTTCAAGCGCCGGAGTGTGATGCTCCACTCCGCCCAGGTGCGCTCGCACGTGGCGCGCGGTGCGCTCGGACGTGGCGCGGGATGTGCGTGGTGCGTGGTGCGCTGGGCAATCATGTTGAATGTCAGTTGTTTGCGGTAGGTGGTTGCTGCATACGCAATGACAAAAGACTGAAATCTGTGCAGAGTGAGCTTCGGAATATAATGATAGTCGATGATGATCACTACTACATAATGCATATTACTACATATCATATACCCAACAGATATTCACCTTTTGAGCCACCTTAGTAGGGGGTCTGTTTGGTTGGACCAAACAACCACAGCTACACCAAGCCACTTGGTTTTCATGTCGAGAGCCGGACGTCAGACCAGGCCTGGCGCCCAGACATTGGCTTTATTGTGGCCATGAAGTACAAACACGTGCCCTATGGCCCCGGCATTTGGCCCGCCTTTTGGTTGGTGAACAGCGACGTGGGCTGGCCCAAAGGTGCGGAGATTGGCACAGCCGGGAATTGATTCGATTCTGCATCATTTGTGCCAGCTTGTGCCAGAGAATGCTGGAGATGGTGCGTTTGGGGTTGATGTGGTTGGTGAGATCGTGGCAGTCGTGCTACCTGTCTCGCCGCGTCTCGCCCTCTCTGTTTCAGGTGGAGAATTGGACATCCTGGAATATGCCAACGACGAAGCCAATAAGGCCAGCTCAAGCTATCAAATGTCGAGCAGAATAACTCTATTGTGGGCACAATGTCCTTAGATCCGGAGTGCATATCACTTTCTGGATTGCCATGCGAATGCACCTGGCCAGGATATGCAGGAGAGTCTGAGCCAGGATATGCACCTGGGGTCAAAACTACCCAAAAATATCGCAACATCATTTGGATCCATCAACATTCCCCAGTCAACAGTCCACGTCAGTTTAGTGGTTTTCTGTGGGGTTGAACCTAGATAGACATACATCTTCCCTAAATACCCAATCTTGTCCATTTTTCAATACTGCTTAAAGGTGACCTTTTTCAATACAATGTCCTCCAATCTTGCAGAAGACAAGGCATGGAAGTGGCAGTGACAAGGAACCAATGTTGTTTTTGTTTTCAGCATGTCCCTATGCTCCATCCATGGTAGTGGCACGGTGACCTTCCACCGCGAGCAGACACGCAGGTGACCTTCCACACCGATCGTCATTGCAAGTTGAACGTGGAAAAGCTGAAGAAGTGCGCAAGAAACATCCAAGGCATCGAGTCGGCTGAGAGCGAATGCATCGGCTGAGAGCTGTGGCCTAGGGATGATGGCTGTATGGCTGAATGGCTCAAAATCTAGAGGGTGTCCCGAGAAGGAACAGCGGATCAGGATGTCTGTGGCATACCACTACGTCACTACTGTAGGCCTTTGCTCTTGAACGATAACTAGATCTAGAATCTGGATGACAGTTGAGCAGATGAGGTGACGCCGCCCCGCAGTAGATAACACACTAATCCGTACTCGTACTAATCCCAAGTTAGATTGTTGATGTGGGCCCTTATCTCATTGGGCAGACGTGTCATTTGGCCCTAACGATATGACTGCGATCGCCAGCGGCCATCGGCTTCGACCCACGGGATCGGCTGCTCCGACGCCAGGCATCGATCCCAACATGCTGGTGAACTGCTACACCAACTATTCCATGAATCTCATTGGCTGCATGCCACCTCAGGTGCGAAAGGATGGTGAGTGGTTTGCCAAGAATCCGGGTGTCATTGCCTTGCTGTGGGATGCGAGCGGCATCACCAGCTTTCACATTCCTGAAAGCGAGATCCCAGCAGATTTGGCCAACAACCAGCCACAGCCCAATACCTGGAAGGACTCCTGGAGAATGGCTTTTATGCCATTTGAAGCAGAGACTTGCATGGACATTGCTAGGCCTCAGGAGATTGTGCTGAACATTGCAATCTGTGGCGATTGGGCTGGGAATACGTGGTGGGAGTGCGAGGAGTGTAAGGCTACGGGATACGTGCCAGACTATTGCATTCCTGGACATGTCACCGAGCCGGCCACTGATTGTTGTACTCTCTACATCTCGAATCCATCTGCAGAAGAGGGCTTGAAAAGCAAAGCATTCTTCGACCTCGACTACATCAAGGTCTTTGAACCCGAAGGCCAGCCTAGCGGACGTGGTGGTCGTGTTTTCCTGTGATTGCAAAGTAGCCCAAAGTCTGTTTGTAGAAAGACCCCCATCTGGGAAGTTTGACAAAGTAATGCGCACATGGGATTAAGCAACCCCCCTATTAATCAAGCCAGCTGAAGCCTCCAATAATAGACTAATTTGATCTCTGCAAACCTCCCCCTAATAATGACTTCCACCCCCCCTATGAATCAAGCCCAGCGCCCCCACAAAAAATTATTGGTTTTATATTTAATTATTACTACTTTTTTAGTAGGCAATATCTTTTGGTCCATGGTGAAACTGATCTTCGAATCCACTCTTGTCTCATGCCATCTCTTTGAGATATAGCATTCTGATCCACCTTTTTCCCATGCTGATCCTCTCATCCATCAATCATTTCTGATCATTCTGCTTGTTCTTCTCATCCTTCCCAGCAGCAATCTGTGCAGCCAACCATCCCCCAAAACCCCAAAAACTCTCTAGCAAAATTCTTTCATTTTCCCTTATTAAAACGCTATCAACATCTTAAGGTTTTCAAGCTCACAAAGGGTACCCCTCACACAGGCCCTACCACCCCCTAATAGTAGGGACCCCTCCCCCTATTAACAAGCCCACCCTCTGGCCTCCATCTTGTTTTCCAAAAGTTCTCATGTGGTTTCCATCTCTTCCAACCCTTTCATCCCAACTCTTCCAAATACTAATTCCCTTTCATCTCAATTCTTCCAACTACTAATTCCCTTTCATCTCAATTCTTCCAAACACTAATTCCCTTTCATCGCAACTCTTCCAAGTACTAATTCCCTTTCATCTCAATTCTTCCAAAAACTAATTCCCTTTCAGCCCAATTCTTCCAAATACTAATTCCCTTGCATTCCAATTATCAGGTCATCATCTTTATTAAGGGGATGTGGTCTGCACCCAAACCTTGTTGACCTTGTTGACCTTGTAGGGGGGGGTTGATTAATCCTATGTGCGCATTGCATCAATCACCTCATCCATCAGCCAAGCACGGTGAATCACAATTCTCTTCACAATTCAGTCCTCGGCTATGCCCATGACGACCTCCAGAAAAGAGGACGCCCACCGTGGCCGCAAAAAAAACGCACCGAGGCTATGATTTGCCCCGCTACCCGGCGGGCACCTATCGGAATGGCGGTGTTTTCGTGGGCGACGTCTGAGTTCGCACGCGGGAGCGCGATTCCGTCGGGGATCATCTTTTGGCAGGCAGAGATTTCATGCCAAGTTTGAGGAAACGGGGTTAAGGAGTGTGTTTGACGGACTGCAGAGTAGTATTGCCATCACCGAGCCGTATAGAGAAACTTGAGATCAATCTGGAAACCTTGAAGGAGAAACCACCGTCAAGAATTCAGAAAGACATGAAACCGGCTTCCATAGGGCTTCCATGGTTGTCATTTTCAGATCGGTACTTGGAACTTGGGAAGTCCCGAAGTGTGATGAGTTTGGATCAGCAGAGTTGGACAACCTGGCAGCTACCCACGTTTCCGACAGCTTAAAGTCGTCATGGCATGGAGACCTAGACCTTGCAATCTGTTACAATGATAGAGGGCTGAGTGGCCAATGTGCTGACGCGACCCAGAGTGGACTCCATGAACTTCACGTTATGCGAGAAAGACCGGCAGGTCGCGTCATGTGTCGGGATCGCAGAAGGCCTCCGGACTTTGAGGACATCTCCACTTCTTGGGCTGCAGAATCACCATGTTGACTCATGGGTTTCCGGTGTTAGCAGAAGCATGGCTGCAGCTCGTTTTGCCTGTCTTCCGGCCACCCTGTTCATCGGTTGGACTATGTTGGCCTTGGCGGTGAAACTGTCTTGGGACCCTGGCTTTTTAAAGGTGGATCTCGGCTTGGACATGGTGATGTCGGAAGCTCAATGCGGTTGTTGTGACTGTGCGGGGGGGTCAGGTCCTTTTGGGGTGTTTTTTGACCGGGCATCGAACACGGACGCCCAGTCGAGTCGAAGACAGACCGAGAAACCATCAACCAAACTTATGGGTTGATGTTGATGGTGTCCTTCCATCTTTTGATGGGTTCATTGTGCCATGTTTCATCATTTTTTCATACACAATACACACTGCTCACTTTGCTCATGAGGCCTTCAAGTCTCACAAGCACCGAGCCCGAGCCGCCAGAGACACCCCAGGCAGTGAACCCCGGCGAACTGGAAGACTTCGGTGGCACCGCACTGGGAATGGATGAAGATGGACTGACTGGACACCTCAGGTGCAGGGTTCCTTGCTGGTTAGATACTTCAGGCTACGATTTGGTCTATTTTGATCCACACCCTTACTTTGAAGCGGCCTCCATTTGGAAGGCCTTCTCCCTGCCAATGAAGAACAGTTGCTGTGGAGAAAGGAAGCAAGCTTCTATTTCCCTTAAACAACAAGAGCAACATTATCATTACATCACTGATTGAGTGGGAGATATGAAGATTTTAGTAGCCCAATGTATCTATGGTTTCTGGTTCACTAGTTGTACACGCCTGCAGATCATACCTGAGCAAGGCGGTACTGGTCTACACGCGCTTGGCCACCGGGGCTGCTCGTGATTTCAGGAGACGGAGGGTCTCCATGTCCTCTTTCAGAGCCCGGAAAGACTAGAATAGGCCAGCGATGCCCGAGGGTGGAGCTCCATAGGTTTCAGGCCGAATAATCAGATCATGAAGATCACGAAGTGCCATTCCATAGTTCTTCCTTCCAACAAAGGGCTTGGTTTCCTGGGAGGAGTGACCACGACAAGCCGCCCTTCGCACGGATCTCGGCCACAAGCCTTCAAAATGGCGACCTCACCGTGAGTGTTGCCTGGAATCGAGGCGCGCGTCCTGCGTGGGAGTTGCACGAGTTTGGAGGTGGCATCGAAAAGTACTGGTTTGACTGACAAAACTGGCAGGACCAATAGTGGGTCACATCTGAAACTCCAATGTTTGTGTTGTAAATGGATGCAAATGGCATTCTCCAAACCAATTGGTAAACCCTGCAGGTCTCTGGGTCGATCTGGGTGACTTCACCATACTGTTGGTGGGTAAGACCCCGTGCAAGAACCACGGAAGGTTTCATCGGGACTTGGCGTCCGGAAGATTTTCGTGTTCTGTAACTCGGTGGAGTTCTTCTTGGCCTGCGCAAGCCTCTAGCTTTAGCAAGAAGAGACCAAAGACGAGCAAAATGGAAGTCGCTCAACGTGTCAGCAAGCTTGAAGAGAGAGTTCCAAAAGGTCGAGCCTACCACGAGCTGACTTGAAGCCACGTCATTGGTTTCACTGGCCTCAATCAGCCACAAGCGATTCCTCGTCAACGACAACATGGGGAATCGGGACCGGTCCGAAGATGTCACCTGATTGAGTCGCTTACAAGATGCGGTCAAAGCATGTTGTTCTCATTAGTGATAAGGTCTGATGATACGTGTACATCTGCTCAGCAATGACTTCAACTTAAATGCACCGCACAGCGGGGCTGACTGGGGCCTTATGAACTCTGAAATGGTCAAAGTATGTCAAAATCAATTAATGTAGTCACGTGCATCATGTTTTTGCTAATGGCCGGCCTACATGTAGACAGATCCATAATCAAGATATGTCAATCTCAATCTCACAACTCTACATCTGATTTTGATACCCTGTATCCCCACTCATTGACGATCCCTGTAGACGCTCGCAAGGTTCGCCCGAAGAGCCACCGCAGCCTCCAGATCCTTTAGGCTGAACGTTAGAGAGAAGAATCGCTGCGCTGCGGAAGCGCACTAATTTTGCAGCACTTATTGAGTAATTACTCACCCATATTGGCAGCACTTCCAAATGGGTCACTCATTTGGGGTCCCTTTCCGATCTGCACTACATACATTGGTATTGGTGGTAGTGGTAGATCTGAAACATAGCTTCCTGCACGAGTGATATTCACCGGCGCCATAGACACTGCATAGACCCCTCGACAATCGCAGGCTGAATTGTCCTTGAGATTTCTTTTTGGGGCATATGTGAGCTAGTAGGAAGAGAATCAGAGTAGTTTCTTTGCCATTTATTTGTTCCTGGAATCTGATTTGTTGCCTCCGACTACACACACCTTGCACCAAAAATGTTATATATACCCAACATACTTGCAGTATTTGATACCCCATAGCCGCCATAGCCAAGCATACCCACCTTGCGACACAATGAATTTACCAAATAATACCAAATATACTAGACTATACTTGTGGTTGTAGGAGTCGCAGATGACAACCCGTTTTGAGGGCTTCTGTGGGCTGGGATGCCTCGAGCACCGCCAGAGGACGTGCTCACGAGTCGATTCTGTTGATTCACAGCTGAACGGCCCTAATGACTCCTAATGACATGGACATCGCGGTGGACATTGGTTGGACATCGGTGGATATGATGTGTTGCGAGTGAGAGATAAAATGGCTAGGTACAAGGATGCTACTAGTAGCAAGGGCATCGCTACTACTAACAAAGGGCATCGCTACTAGGAACAAGGTGCATTCACACCTAGTGAGAGAATAAATACCGCTGCGAAGCCACGGCGAAGCTGGTGGGTCACTCTCGGCTAAGCTGGATGAGGAACGAGTCGTCCCCAGAAAATGAGGACTGCTCGGGCATCATGGATCTCGTGCCCAGCTTTTGCTGGGGCCCTAGCTGGCCAAGCGGCCAAATGTAACCATATCATGAGTGAAGTGAGAGATCATAGATCAACGATGAATGGTAATCATCACGAGCCATAATATGGATATGATCAAAATAGGACAGCAACAGAAAGCCTTGTGTGCCGGGTGGTACAGAGTCCTAATTACTTCCTCTTTGGTGGTCAACTCCCAAAGTGTAGGCTGAATTATATAGTCACAAAGACTTGATCATCGAAGGCTCCTCTTAAGGCTCCTCTTGTTTGAGGCTTGATTTGTGTATCATTTCTTATTCTTTTTTCCTGCAGGTGTGTCCACTTCTTTCCGACACCCAAAAACCTCGTCGATTTTGGTTGCTTTGCCAGGCACAAGAGCCATTGATGAAATGGAGATCTTCTCAGAACCGGCCGTGGAGCTGCGCAAATACCTGCAGGTCAGGTTTGCAGTCTTCAAACCTTCAAACCCGCACCCCGTTCAGCCAGCGGATTTGGTCTTCGCGCCGCCTTCATCGAACTTCTGTGGCCAAGCTAGCCCTCTTTTGTAACTGGGTAGGGCCCCAGGACTTTTCGGACTTGTGACCAACATAGTGCAAGGGTATTTTGATCTAAATAAAAAAATATATAATTAGTGTACATTTGTTCAATTCACAACTACCAAGATTTTACCCATGTACACTGGGTATGGATAGTCGAAGAGATGTAGTGCGGAGACCACTTCAAGCAAGTTGTAAGTGTCTCAGTTTAAACGTCACTCATAACATATATGGACTAGGGACTAGACATGACCGAGTTGCCATGGGCCTCTTTTCCCTCCAATCTGCTCTCACAGACGTGTCTCATCGTGTCTCCAATCTGCTATTCACAGCCGATTCAGCACGCAGGCGGCCCTGGGCGGGGAGGACCTTTGGCGGCGAACTCAGCAGGACAGACCGCGCCAGCCCTTTGTGACCGCTCGTGAAAAGAAGTCGATCGATCTGGGAGTCTCCTCTCGTTTCGGATCCCTGGCAGAAAGGAGAACTATATAAAGAATGAGCGCAAGTGAATGGGAGTGACTTTGTTTCTTAGCTCACAGGTGTTTCAATTGGTAAGTTTCCGGTGCTTCTATAAATTCGCCTGGGTGGAAGGTCAGTTTGATGCAGTGGTTTGCAGCAGGAGGAAGGCGGCTGGGATAATAGGTCAAAGACTGATCTGGGCCGTTTGTTTGAGTGAAAGACATCCACCAAATCACAATCTTTCGGATATATTCGGATATATATTTGTTCAACCATATAATATATATTGTACATCAAGGGGCCATGGATGTGAGGCCACACATCTCCAAAAAAAGCGACCCTTCTTTTTGGACCCACAGCGCAGAATGATCATAGTCTGATTTGTGGGTACTAGGTGAGACGATTGAAGACCGCATATTCAGAAGTCGAGGAAGTAGATCGGTGCTTTCGGGATATATGCTCTCACTGTTTCATGGAAGTGGAGATCATCGCCACTGAATCTCACTGTTTTTCTGAAGAAAAAACATGTCGTCTTCCCGACTCGGGGCGGCAGCCGCCCTCCACGGTGTCGCCACTCCGCTGGGGGGCCCAGGTCGCCGCAGCCGCCCCGTGCAGTGCCAGGCGCGGCTGGTGGCATCGAAGAAACCCCTTTGTAGGAGATCCACACGATCCGCACTGGGGGTTTCTTGGAGGCTCATCAGAACTTGAGGTATATATATATATGGAAACTTATGCTTTTATTCACAAAGGTCAAGGAGCCGAACGAGTCTCCCGGGGTAGCCTGGGTGACATTTGCGTTGACTCATTTAACCGTCACCGTTCGCTTGTGAAGACTTGTTGGGATTCTAGGAAAAGGTTCAGCTCACATCAGGGGCTGCTCTCCGCCAGGTATGATTGCCATCACTGGATCTCCAGGGCTGCTCGGTGACCGGAGATGGCGACTGTGCACGCGGATGACTTTAGGATCTCTTTTGTGGAGGAGAGTTCATCAGCCGGACAATTCAGCTACTGTATTTCCTGCTCCCACCAGATCCTGTTCCACATGTCTCAAGGTGGATCGCTGTCGCGATTGCTGTCGCTACCAATTCAAGAGGGGCCCTTAGATCAGGTCTGGGAAGACACGACTGGCCTGCCGGGTCTTCTCACAGCTAGCAGATGAAGGCGTCATGCCTTTGCAGGTGTGGAGTGTGGATCGGGTGGGAGCTCAAATCTCAAGGGCCATTTTGGGAACCTTTGCAGGAACCACCAAAAACCATGGGATTTGAGGCATCATGACTCCCATGACTACATGTTCCACCAGCTCATGGTGTGTGAGCTTGGTGCTGTCTCACTTGTTGAACTTTGGAAGTTCGAACATTCTCCCTGTCGAAGACTTGGTAGATTGCGGACTTCTCAACTGTAGACCCGTAGAACACCTGTTGTAATATTACAACGCCGTTATTGGCAGGAATCATGACAATAATATGTCCCAATACGTCTATCCAAGAGTTTGGACAGGAATCCAAAGGCAAGTAAAGGATTCCATTTCTGCCTCATTTCAGTAGCCTTTGGTTCCCAAGACCACGTCTAGAGGGACCCAGCGATGTGACACCTGCCCCAGTGGTTCATGCCAGGTGATCTGTGGAAAGCTGAGCCAACCTGGAAAGAAGTTCAAGACAGTCCAGGCCGCTTTGGTGGGCCACCACGGGGCCCTCGCATCCGCAGGGGAACGTGAAACAGTCAGTGTCAGATGGAAAGTCACCCCGGATTGCCAACACACTGAGAAACTCCAAGAAACTCCGAACTCCAATTGGACGTTCATTTTCCTGGAACTCGCTTGGCTTCATTTTTCTCGATGAAGTTCAGGTCACGAAGTTCACATGGAACTGGAAGAACTCTGAACATCTGCACCAGTTGCGAGGATTGGCTGCGCTCCATCCTGAGCTTCGCCACTTGGTACTCACCGTGTGCCATTTTGTGCGGTGGCCCAGCCCAGCTTGTGTGAGGCCCACTTGTTAATAGTAGCTTCTTGCTACTAGTAGCGATGGCCTCCAACCTAATAGCGATGGCCTCCACCTCCACCTAGTAGCTTCTTGCTATTATTGTGCGAGGCCTTCGATAAGCCAAGTTGCACTGTGCTGGTCGTCCATGAAGCTTATTGATTTTATCACCGAATCATTTGGAAAGTCCGTGCCAATCAGTTGGGTGTTTGTCGACAGGCTGTAGTTAAACACACCTTGTCATCATTAAAGAACACCTGTAGATTTTCCTTTAGATGTCTTTGATATTGACTTACAAGCACCTGACACGCAACTTGCTGTGTTTGACTTCCAGTTTGGCCCGGCCCAATGGACCCCGAGGTTTGATGACTTTGGCGCGCTGTGTACTTTCCTCAAGAATGACCAGCCTCAGACAGTGGTGATGGGTCAGACAGTGGGATCGGTGAGGAGCCACTTGAAGCAGCTGACGGCACCGCGATCTGCCATGGTCGGTGCTGATCGGTGCTGACCATGGCAGATCGCGTTTTCGCGTGTTTGGCAAGAACCAGTTTTCACTGTTGTGTTATATAGTGTTTCCTATAGACGAACAGAGTGTGGCAATGGACCCTGACCCCTGCTGTTGGAGTTTTTTTTTTTTTTCCAACAACGGCAGCCTGTAGATGGTTCGGTTTCGTTTTGCCATTGAGCAGAACTCATGCCGGAGCTTTGGTCATGGTGGTTCTACTCGGGCACCCATTTTTAAGTGTCTTCAATAACTCAGTGTTCTACAGACGAAGACGGTCATTTTTAAGTGTCTTCAAGGCTTTGCCTGGCTTCGTCTAGTAGGGTCTATACCGGTTGGACGAAAAGAAACTAAGAACCTCCAGACCGACCACGGTGACCGGTGACCGGGTCGTATCCTTCGTCTGAGGTCCCGATGTAGAACCTGGTGCTCCAAATCTCTCCATCACAGAGGAGTGCTATTGGCACAGCTGGTGCGCCGGCCAATCGGTGTGTTTTGCTACTGCCCAGCTCACAGTGTGCAGAATTGAATTGTTACCACGCACAGATATGCACCCTGCACTTTGGATGGTCATGGGCAGGCACCGAAAGCTATCTTTATTCTAAGCAGGTTTTTTGGAATAACAGATGAACGAACGAGACGTTGCTTGAGGTCCTCAGGGGACACGGGGCTTTGCCGTTCTTCCTGAAAAAAAGTGTGTGTGGGGGTCAAATCCACCCAAAGAAGTTCACTTGCGAGCGAGAGAGAGAGAGAGAGACAGAGCGCCACTCCATCAAGCTTGCACCCTTCATCCATGTTGCAATAAAGGCATGTTTCTTCCCTTCCGATTGCTGCCATCCTGAGTGGAGCGTTTTGAACTTTCTTGCAGTGGAAGGCCCTTCCAGTCTCAACTTCCAAACCGATCTTCCAACACCTCTTCTGGTGTATTATGTTTGTTCTTTTAGGATTAGAACATCAACTGGATGCAGTTCAAACATTTCATATCCAATACTATCAATCACTAAGCACCATACCTGCCAAAAAAACTGGAAAAATAGAAATTACATCACTTCGAGAGATCCCCACCATGACATTTCAATCCACTATAACATGAAAGTAATGGCACACAATCAGGCCGCACTTGCTTTTTCTATAGCGAAATGTTGGTATTGAATTTGTGAAACATCCCGGCTTCATAGAGAACACATGGTAATCTACAAAGAGCTGACGTTTGAGGTCCGGTGGGGAACACTGCCAAGCGGCTGAAGCTCGCGGTTGAGGTCCGGCGGGGAATGCTGCCATCCTTGAGGATGGGCGGAGGAGGTGGACGCAAAGGCGAAGGCGGACGCGGAGGAGAAGGAGGAGGAAGGCAGCTGACATAAAATCTAACAACCCTCATCTGACAGGTGGGGAACTCTCATGTCAAGCCCATCCTGAGGCTTCACTACTAAAACGTTGTCACTACTGACGCATCATTTGCAAGGAGCGGTCGCCCATGCTCGCGGAACTGCTGCTGGATCTCCTGCCAGAGGCCGACACGGAAATGCTGGTCGAGGCCTTTAAGAGCCAAGATAGGCCAACTTGGGACAGATACCCTCTGGCTCACTAAGATGGCATTTCCATGTTAGTGAGAGTCGGAGTATAGGCTACATAAGATTGGGCAACCTCCTGGCTCTGACTGTAGTACATAGGGCCATGGTGTTTGTCCATGATTGTCCTATTCATTGTAACAGTTGGTCAGAGATCACATTCATTTGGGAACCACTATCATCATTCACCATCAGAGTGTTCGGTGTCGAGGTAGTCCCACGGCCAACAGTCTTAAGAGGAGGTCCTTGTTGAATCATGTTCCTTCATGTTCCTTTCCATGCCAGTGCTTGCAAATTTTTTTTCTGTGTTGGGGGAGGTGATCTCACCAAGACATCCACCATATATTTGAGGTTAGCTGATTCATGTGGATGTGTATTAAAGTAGGTAGACCTCGCAGTTTGACCCCCTAGAAGAAAGAAATATACCAGTCTACCCAGCCAGGGCCAGGAGGGTCTCCCTATAAAATACATCTCATCTCCATGTGAGACGCATCACAGCTGGGACAAGTCGGTTAAGAACAAAGAACTTGGATGTTCCGCAAGTCGTGAGTTGGTCATCACCCCGTTCAATAGACACCACCCTGGCTAACTAAGGAGGATGGCGCATCACCAGCATTTCTATCACCACAGTGGAACACAGGCTAATTCTCCAAAAGAGCATGCATTTTACCAAGCAGATGCAAGAATGAACACACTTTGAGAAGTCTGGACCCAAACTCAAACACGTCATATCTCCATGTATCCATAATCTCTCCATCCATTGTCTATTCGTTGGGTATGAGTCTTGGCCGGCCCGGTGGCCACACAGGTCCGCGCCTGTGGCGCGCGCCTGGCTCTTGTGGCCACCATGCCAGATGATGCCGCCGTCCACCGGATGTGCGCCGAGCCGACGCTGAAAGATCGGACGTGGTGTAGACTGAGGAGTATTTCCCAAAACGTAGTCGTAAAACCTATCCAATGGATAGTTCTTTTGTCATGTATCTTTCAAAAGATTCTTTCATGTGGAATCCTAGGTTTATGCTACACTTGAAGGAAGACGTATATTAAGTAAATATTATCTTGCACCACTTGAAAAGGGTTTTACGCGAGAAGAACAGGTGATAATTTGGCAAGTTTGCCCGCATATACTGTGATATAGTACTTGACTGAATGGGCTGTTCAATGTCTCCTGAGAGTCTCTTCCCAACAATACATGCGCCATGCGGTAGGCTTTGGACGTGGCCCGCGCTGGAATACAAGGTGAGGGACGGAGCAGACTGTTCCCATAGGGTGTTGAGGGGCCACTCCGTCTTCAAGGATAGACCTTTATCCAGGTTGCATACAAGGATGTTAAAGGTAAGCCAGGGATACTAAAGGTAAAGGCCAATAGATGGAAGTAGTCAAAGAGACACGTGATGACACGTGTTTTGTTTCAATTTCTTGTGAAGCGCCTGGTGCATCAAGGTGGCTCTTCGTCAGCCTCAGTTGAAGGAGAGGCCTGAGATGTTGATGGCCCTCCTCAAGGAGAAGGTGGGACATGCAGACGAGTGGTTGGACTGTGGTGCCATTTCCCCATCGGAGCCCAGGCTGACGTGGTCGGGCTGACAAGCACTGAATTGCTGAGCATGGAAAACACACTCCTGCGCAGGTGGATGAAGGATGGGATGCACCTCTGACAGGTTTACATCGCACATCGCGCTATGATACGGTGTGATACGGTGTGTGATAAGGTGTGATGCGCGCGTGAAGCAGGGCTTTCACGGATGCGGAAGAGCGTTGATGACGAAGTTGGAGTGTTTTGGTGCGGTGAGTGAAGCTGAAGCTTCCCATGGACCACCATACTAGTGGGGCTGCTTGAGCATGAACGTTTCGTGGCACCCGCGAATTATGGCAGGTTGAGCAGGGCTTGCTGGCCGAAGGAGCTCTAGATGATTGGGGTGGTCGCAGGGTCCCCAGCTGCTGGGGTGCTTCTTCTCTGCATTGGACACACTGAGGGTGTCACTGTCGTTGGAAAAGCCGTTTGCATCTTGTTGGGGTAGTGGTACTCCGCTCTGCAGCGAAAAGAAAGCAGTCCAAGAATTTCCAGTAGACTCAACGCTGGTGACAGCGGATCCCTAGACAACGCTGGCCCGACTTGGCGGCCTAAAGGTCGCTGGATGCAGAAGTCCAACTCCTCTGCATAGCTGATTTCAGCTGAATAGCAGAATGACCATCAAAACATATCAAAACGGTCCCAGGTAAACCACCACCTTTGCCGAACATCCCTGACAAATGAACCAAGACCGAAGACCGCATCAGACCGAAGACCGAAGACCGAATGCGGTGAGGCATCGACGGCTTCAGCATGGGCGACCTCGTGAGCCTTGTGGAGCGGACCTGTGTGGAGGTCGGAGCATCCGTTGGAAGAAGGAGCATCCGTTGGGACATGCCGGTTCGACGGTGCTGGTAGACCGTGATGGTTTTGAGTGGCCCTTGTGAATCGGTCACTTGAAACTAGTAGAATCGGTGGGGTGTTCACTTGAAGACACCCTGGGAATCAATGTGAGCCTTCAAATTTACTTCTTAAGGGAGAGAAACAGACTCTTCACCTCTTCACTGCTTGGGCTAGCCTCACGGGTTCCATATTTCTTAGGCAACGAGCCCATTCTGAACACACAGGGGGATGCCACAGAATTTTGTTCATCAGCATGGGTTTGCATCAAAGAGTACTGACATCATTATGTTTGTTCCGTATCCTGGCCCTTGGCACTCATGTCGGTTTTCTGTCGAAAGGATCTGAAGAATTCTCCGGAATCTGTTGACCCCATATGACGTCCAGATGACGCCCATGGATCTTCAACGGCTCAACGACCCCACCCCGGGCGCAGAGAGCGGGCGGCCGACCAAACGCCGAGGCGACCGTGGATGCCAGTGCGCAGCGGCTCTGCGGGGGCGATGGCCGTGGGCCAGAGTCGCTGGGCCCGGAGAGAAGAACTCGGGACACAAAACCAAGAAGGTCAAGAAACGAAACCATAGGGACAGTGAGATTGTTCAATGTTATTCAACGATCGTTTTTATATATATTGTTTTTTCTTATTTGTTAAGAGTAAGTCTATATATATTCTTTTCAATCACAGTTCTAGAGACTGATGCAGGATAGGCATTTGGAAAGTATCATAGAGCCTGCAAAGGATCCAATTTGACAATTTTGGTCTACACGACCAGTGGTGTACTGGACATTCACACCAGGTTGTGTGCAGCGGCATTGTTGTTGCCGACATGAAAAAGAATTAAGAACCCGGTTGTTAAGGACAAATCGTGCAGGAGAAGCTTCTCCCCTTTTTTTGCTTGGAAGCTTCTTCCTTCTCCCCTTCTCCGAACTGATTGGAAGCTTCTCCCCTTCGTGAGACAAATCGTGGCTTCATATCTTCCACGACCCCTTCGGTGCCTGAAACACACACCTAGGTGGGGCGAACGCCAGCGCATCACACTTCAGCACTTGGAGACCGCCTGTGAGGTCCACCAGCGTGGTTTTTGGAAAGACAGGATCAAACAACTCCTTGGCGGTGGATGCTGTGGTCAAGGATGTTAAATTCGTTGAATTCGTGTTGACCGACTTCCCAGGGTCTCACGAGTCGGTCCTTTTAGAGATGTCTCATTACTGGACTGACCTCATTTCTCTGCGGGAATTTTGCTGGAGCGGAGCTTCTGTGGGATTCAGCCAGCTTCCGAATCTTTGTGCGTCTGAGGGCTTTGTGCCAGCCACCATGGCAGAGCAAAGCTTTTTCACCTCGGAGCGGCTCACCGGCGGGGCGGTTTTGGAGAGGTTTTCGGGATGGAAGTGACAGGCCACGATGGTTGGTGGAGACTGATGGAACCAGAAAGCCTGTTTGCATCTGTTTTCAGTGGCTCCTATATAATCTCATGGACAGGTGTGTTGGACTACGTAGTTGGACAACTCGTGCATGTCAGATGAGTGCAGATGTCACACCACCCTTAGCAACAGCAACTATAAGTTTCGTCATGAATCTCACGTACCAATCTACATTACCATTTCTTTGCCATTGAATTCATTGAATTGTTATTTGCCCTCGCTTTGCGCATTCAGATTGGCAGGACGGCCCTTTTTTCAAAACTTGAGACCAACAGTTCCGCATTGGACATGAAGCATGCTTGGGGAGGGTGGTTCAAGTGACCACTGTTGATGAGACCCTTGGTTTTAAGATTGCCTCGAATCAATTGCGCTTCGCTCCTAGTGGCGAGTCCGCAGAAAGCTGGCGCAGGAGGTGCGGTTGGATGACATTGGAGGCTTGAGCAGTGCGAAGCAGGAGAGGGCTGGGTGGGGCGTGATTGCCCAAGCCTGGGACCCAAAAGGTTCGATCAGCTTCTTCCGGATCAATGCGATCAAAGGATGTGCTCTGCGACGGTCTCCACCGGGGGCAGGTGGGGGTGTGAGATTTCATTACATAATATCACGCCTATATAAGATCTCATAAGTGTATACATATAAAAAGTGTATATATATTTATCTGTATACATGGTTTGTCTCAGAGTTGAGGGGGTTGAGGAACCCCAATGGTCACCATCTCTTACCTTCGCTGACAGTGTTTGGATTTGGGGTGTCCATTGTGGCTGGAAAAAAGACCGCGCCAGCGGCGCTGAGGAGCTCATGGATATGCTGACGATGCCCACGAAGTGCTCCGGGAACCCCCGAAAGTCCGATGCCCACAGCAGAATCATGAAGGAACAGGGTTGCTACTAGTAGCGATGCCAGGAGCCCTGTTCGTAGCTTCTTGTTCCTAGTAGTAAGCCCAGGAGCCCCGTTCGTAGCGTCCTTGCATGCCATTCTACAGGGTTTGGTTAATGTTCGTTTGCAACAATATGTGCCGACCGTTTGGAGTATTTTTGTAGTCATATTCACTGAAGGCACACGACCACAAAACGTGCTTTCAATAGAGAGTCGTGTGAAATCCAAGCGCCACTAAAGCAGGGCCACGGCAGCAACATGAAGCCTCGGCGCTGGTGTGGCTAGCGTGTATCTATGAGCGGATATGACATGATATGCCATGATATGCCTGAGAATCGCTTGAGAATTCTATGCCAAAGTGGGAAGATACTTGAGAATTCTTTGAGTCGGGGAGTGGAGAGAGGTTTCGTTCAGCAAACTGCAGAAGTGAAATGTGTCCGAACAGGGGAGTCCAAACCAAGCAGAGATGAATCTTGTAGAAGTATTCTGCACATGTTTGGTGATTTCTTGTGTTTTCTTACCGTATGACATATGAATTACAACGTACACTCCCTGAAACAATCATGGTTACGTGGAAAACCACCACCTATTTGTAGAGGAAACTGGTCTTCTTTAGGATGCCATCCACGTATCCATGATGATTTCAGGGAGTGTATCCATGTACCCCTTTGATTTGCACCCCAAACCTGGCCCCAAAACCCATCGGTGGCGAGAGCAGGGAGTGACCCACCTGAGTCGTGTTCGACCACAACGAGTCCGAAAGGTATGCAGTCCTACTGGATCGGGCTCCAGTGCGCACACGCAAGGCGCGCCAGGTATGCAGGTCAGGTGTCGACCTGCCTGTGTGAACATGTACATGAGCATGATCAGAATGATTACACAAGTTACTTCTGTAAACCATGGGTAAGATCTTTGTAACTTCTGGAAGAGTTTACAGAAGTTACAGACATCGTTGACCCATCGTTGACCCTGAATGATTTGGGTTCTTCCGTTTGTCGCCGATGGGTTTTCTTTGGACGTCAAACGTGGTTTAAAATCGTCGGTCCACCGGTGAAGCACTCGATGCGCGATCGGAACCCCAGTGGAGGCTGGACGATCATATGACCATGGTGGCCGTGCGTCAAAATGCCCAAGCTCTGTGCACTCTGGTAAGTTGCTGTTGGAGTTTCCAACAACTGCAGCCTGCAGATGGTTTCTTAAAATGGAGCAGTCCCAGAGGAACGTCCAACAGGAGCTTTCTATAGTCACGTCTTTCTGAGATTCCTTCACAGTGGAGCTTGGCTCCGGAGCTGGTTCCCACGGATTCCGACGCGGAACCTGCCACGGGTTGCCCAGGGCCTCATGCTGGTGGGGCCGCCGGGCTGCGGCAAAACCATGCTGGTGCAGGCGTGCTGCGTGTCCGGAGTTGATGTTGTCCTAGCATGTCCCAGCTTAGTACTCAAGCGGCCTTCATTGGACACTTGTGGTGGATACAGGTGTTGTTTGTCCTCCCCCCTAAGAGCTACCAAACATCAAAACCAACAAAGCTGTCGGCATTTGTTCCAGAAAGACACATGTTTGACACGCTTTTATTTTGATAACCTTAGCCTGTTTTCTTTGATCAACTCCACGCAGTCCGTCCAGCGGATGTGTGAAGGACGGGAATCACGCGAGTACGTTGGTCAATCTGGTTCAGCATGTGGAGGATCTTGCAGAGCCAGTCTGCTGAGAAGAGCATCGCGGGTTTTGTGGAGCAAAAACCAAAGACTACACTCTACTACTCCCTAATCTGACAGGTCATATTTCATGTCCGTGGGTGAACACCCTGGATCTAACGCCAATGCCATCCACTACGGGCAATCCGGAGCCAGCAAGATGGAGACCTGGCGGGTGCCATGCTCTTGAGACCACTTCTCGATGTTCCCCGTGCCCTTGGCTGCGAGGCAGCAGCCCGAGAGACCAAAGGATTGTTGAGGCCAGCCCACGACACACGGTTCCTTTTTCGATGCTTGCGATGAACGGAGTGTAGACTGAAATTGTTCCATGTTTGCCCATCGAGGACCAAGAATCCTATTCTTTTTGCCATGGTGAACCAAACTGACAGCCACATGAAGCCAGAATTGGACTGCTTGAAGCAACGACTCCCCGAGATCTCGGCAGCAATCTCGGCAGGTTTTTATCTGTGAAGGGCCCTGAGCTGCTTTCCAAGTACATCGGAGAGTCCGAAGCAGGAGTGCGGAAGGCCGGAGAATATCCAGGCTGGAGGAGGCAGGCTAGACCCTCCTGTCTGGGGGCTGTTTTTGGAGTTCTGTACGTAGATGCTCACCCCTCTGAAATCCAGTGAATATGTTGGTACTCTGTGCTTTCCTTGCCTTGCACATTCAGATACCCCCGTTGCGAGGAGCTGTTTGCACCTGCTTTGGTAAGATTAGATAGAGACTACTACAAAGTCAGCCCAGTAGTTAGTTCCAATTATCACTGGACTAGGTACCCCTTATAGATTAAAAAAGGACCTGGAGCCTGCGCCTATCTTCCTCACTCTTCCTAGCTCCCCATTTTTTCTGGATAAGCCTTAACTGGGTTGTTTGTTGAACTTCGATCAGATATGATCAGATCTTCTAAATTGGTTTAAAGGGATTTAAAGGGTTCTTTTTTTTCGCAGAACCTCAAATGCCTTCCCTCCACATTTCTATTTGGGCCACACCACCGGCAGTTCGGCCTTCCAGCCCAGCGGAACGCTCCGAACCGCCGAGCCTTCGCGGTTCCCGCGGCGCGCGCGCGCGGTGCCCGCGGTTCGCCAGGTCTTCGAACGCGCCGCGGCGGCCGCCCCGGCGGTGATCTTCTTCGATGAGATCGAGGCGAAGCGTGGATTTTTCAGCGTGGACGGAGCATGGCGTGTGGAGGGAAGTTGCAGACTGCTTCAGGAAGATTGAAGATATTGAAGATCAAGCAGTTTAGTTGAAAAGTCGACATCCCTCAACATTAAACCGAAGAGGGGAGATGACATGATAACAGGTGAATGAACTTCTGATAGGTTGATGAAACATGATTGACCAGAATTCAGGGTGTCGACATATTGGGCTTCTATCTTTCGTTTGTGCTGGGAATCTCACACGTTAACAACATTCAGCTTCAGTTGCACTACCGAATTCAGCCCATGCAAGTCCACTGTCGCAGGGATCGTACCAGCAGTACAGCCCAAGAATGCAGTTCGTTTTTTTTGCTTCGTGGACGCGGATATTTTCTGTCACGCTTCGGTTTCTTCCATGGAGGTACTGTATCAGTATCAAATTAAAGGTTTGCAGTTTGCATGTCTTTCCGTTATGAGTTATATTCGACTGACGCTCTTGCTTTCATGCAATGAATGTGTTCTTTTCTAAGAATGGCTTACGTGTTCATTTCGACAAGCATACGCCTGATGTTGTCCATCTAGAAGCACTTCATCTTCTCCTATTGTCATTCCCGGGCGCATAACATCGATCCAAAAATTCGGATGTGGCGCCGTGGCGAGAACGGAACAGAGAACATGAAGACACGAAATCAATCCCTTATGCCGTAGCGGCCACAGCCGTAGCGGCGCACAGCGATGTTTTACTGGCCGAGAGCCCGGCCGGTGATGGCCTCATCCCGCGGAGGCCTTGGCACCCAAGCGTGGAGGCCGTGGCTTTTCATTGTCAAGAGAGGCTTCCCGGAAGACTGGATGAAGAATGAAAGAGCATCTGGCAGAGACCCTGATGGAACCTCTACTGAGCGAGGATTGTATAGTTGAACAAAAACTTCACTCTCTTTTCTACACCCAAAGATCAAGTAAGCTAGTATATAGTAACAAAGGGCATCGCTACTAGGAGCAAGGATGCTACTAGTAGCTCCTGGCCTTACTGCTAGGAAGCTACTAGTAGCAAGAAGCTACTAGGTGGAGGCCATTGCTATTAGGT